AGACCGACTCGTGGGAGTCAATGTTATCCGGGAGCTTGAGATAATGCAGCTCGGGCTCTCCCGTCCTTACGTTGGACTGGATCAGAATTCTGCCTGTCCGCATGTCGGGGACGACCCTCTTCAAGGCCGTCTCGAAGGCAGCACCGCCCCGGAGGACCAGCACCGCACTTACATCGCCCGTGGCCTGAAGTCCGTTGTACTTGTAACCTTGGGGTGTGGCAATGGTCTTCTCTCTGAATTGCACATTGTTGAGTGCCCTATCGTTGTTAGCTTGCTGACGAAATGTCACCCTGTTTGGCAAAATACTCACTGCTCAATCAGAAGACATGCGAAGCGGTCAAAGTAGAAGATGAAGTCTTCCGCAGAGGTGTCGATATCCTGAATGATGGTGCTCATGCCCCTCAGTTGCGGTGACTGGTCCAGAATCACAACTCTGTCGGATAGAGGGTCACTGGCAGCCGCCAACTCCAACTGTGTGAGTGCTGCCCGGTGGTGGGTTGACTTTTCGATCAACTTGCGCTCAATATACTGAACAACCATGGCTACCCTAGGCATTAGTTATGAACTTATACGGACATCATGAGTTAGTTACTTACCCATGGCAACGCGGTTCTCGATACCTCTCGGCACGATGATGTCTACTTGTGGTCAGTCTCTACAATGCATCTGAGGCGGCGCGGCTAATTTACCTGCGACTTTGCGCTGCGGTTCGACGAACTGGAAACATATGTTAGGAAAGACCACAATGAGTTTACGACGGAGTTCGTTACTTTTTCAAAGTTTGGTTTCACAAACTTGAACCACTGCTTCATGATGCCATCTACGTCACGGCCACGCTCCTTGACATCTCTCAACACTTGAAGTTGCAAGGTCAGTTATGCAACAGCTCTGACGAGTCCTGGGCTACCTGCGACTTACCTCTCCGTGACAGGCACGTATCGGCATCTGCTTCACAGAATATCTGAGCAACTGTCAGGAATCGATCGCAGTCTGATTTGATGGGAGTGAAGTACCCTCATATCCAGAAGATCAATAATACGGGGGTCATGGAGGGCAAAGATTCCTTCCAGGATGATGACGTGAGGTGAGTAGATGGTTGTCGTGTTGTCCAACCGTTGGTGCTTAGAGAAGGAGTAAATGGGAATTTCAGCCCGTTTTCTAGTGGCCAATTATTATCACGAAGTCAAATTTTGATGACTGAAATGTCTGTCTCCAGTCTGGAGGCGTCTCGTGAAGCATCTCTCATGAGCGAAAATGACAAGACTTACCCAGCCTTCAGATCGCGCAAGCAATCCACAAGTATATTAAAGTCAATGGCCTGGTTTTGGTCAATAAGCATGCCAACAGCACATCAGCGCATGTCTTACATCTGGCGCATCAAAGTCAAAATTGTTGTCGAAAGCCCTCTTTGACTGCTCAGGAGTCAGGGGGTTGTAGAAAGAGTCCTATATTCAAATCGAGTCAGGAGAGGGGCAATCGCCGCAAGCCGGTTGGCGGGGTAAATGCACACATACCATGGACAAAATCACCACCCAGGGCAGATTCAGCTTCCTCACAATGGCATGCGACAGAGTCGACTTTCCGGAGCCGGAACTGCCAGCAATGCCAATGATGCTGACATCTGCCCATGGTGGTGAGTAGTGAGTCCGTCGCTGGATCGTCACATGAGACTCGGTGCCGCTGTGGTTGTCTGCCATTATATGATGAGAGGCGGAAGTCGCCGACGTTGATGCGCGGAGCAGGCAGGTGGTGGTTTATCGGATAGCTACAGCTTTGTCCTCGGATCTGCAGCTGAGTAAGGCGAGGTAGACGGAAACCAACGACCTGAGGAACAAAGACTGCAGGAGTCGACTATTTGGTGTTTGCTCCCTTCGCAATGGAAGGGGGGAAGAAGCAAAGATGAAGTTTGAGGATATAAAAATGAAAACACTGGTTAAAAGGCGACTTCCAGGGTCCAGTCCCCAAAGATAAGCGCTGAGGGGGATGAATGCTTAACTTTGACAACCTAAGCCTGGTGGAGCTGCCCGGGCTGGATGTTGAAGGTAACCGAATGGAAGGTACCACCTGCCACAAAGCTGCTGATCAGACGGGACAGGAGTCACGAGAGGGGAAGTTGCCTTGTACTGTTTCCATACGGAAGGTGGGTTGTAAATCTTGGAGATGGTAGAGACAAGTCGAAACAGGCTGATCAAAAGAGAGAGGCTGTGCTCGCGTGCTATCTTTCCTCAAAGCATCTTGTCTGGTTCTCGAACGGAACATCTCGTGTCGAGGTGGACGATCCAATGGCGGGCTGGGCTCACACAGGCTGGCACAGGCTGGCACACAGGGTCTAGATGCAGCTCTCGTCTCCAGCAGCACAGGCACGCCGCACGTTGCTCAGCACCTCCCGTCGCCTTGGGCAGGTGAGGTTTAGCTCTGGTACCTGCCTGTCTTGTGCTTCTGGTGGGGCGCGCCCTGTGTTTTTTTCCATGCCCTGTTTAACCCCAGTTGTGGCCCCCCAGGCTGCGTGGCTGCTCTCAGCGCCTTACCTGTCTTACCCTATGGCCTAGATATCTTAGAGGCTTAGGTAAGGTATAGGGCCCTATGGGAAACGTTCCTCAGGTTTATGTGCCTCGGATTATCTAATCGTAGCTGCCCCACGCCAGGTGGTCCGGCTGATCCTGCGATTGGCCCTCTGCAGCCGCAAACTCTGGAACCGAATAAAGCTCCGCTCCAGCCTCTTTCTCTTTGTTCTGACGTTTCTTCCTTCTTCCACATCCAATCCAATTTCTTCCTCAGCATCTTTCTTTCAAACACTTCCTTCGCACAATCAAAACAAACGGGAGCTCGACTGGCCACTCAAATGTGACGACGGCCCAGCCCAGAGTCTGATCCTGTCTTGCTTTCCCTGCATTTGCGCACTTCCCATCGCATGTCAGGACTGCCGGACATCAACGACCCAGCAGCCATAGCAGTTTGGAATAGAGCTGCTGCGCGTCTCGTGCGGGAGACGTTGGAGAGAATCATGGTCCGTTGAGCTCCCTGTGTGCCTGTGTGCCAGTTGTGCTTCCACGCTGGCCACGTCTTTTGGCTGTTGGCAGCTAGCTAAGATGTCATTCAGACTTCGTCTGCGTCGACTGCTACACCCATGAAGCATGCCTTCGAGAGGCGTGTTCAGGACGTCAAGTCGCCCAAAAGGTAAGCATCTCTCTTCTCTTCTCCCAAGTCTTAGCCCGGCGCTAGCTCCGAGGCTACGTCTGGCGCTTCCCCCTCTCTCCCCTCCCAGCTCACATGATGATCAACTATCAAATGGGAATCTCTCCTAGCAATTACCATGCGGAGAACTCGATATAAAATAACCCTGACACTTTTGCTGTTTTGCACACCTTTTATCTGTTCGAACTTGAGCGAAGAGGACCTCAGTGCTGACATGAACTCTCAGCGACATCAACGCCCTGATCCTCGATTACTTGACGATGGAAGGATACCCTAATGCTGCCGCAAAATTTAGCAAGGAAGCCAACCTCCAACCCCACCAAGTCGACGAGACGATCAAGGTCCGCCAGCAGATCCAAAAGTCAATCCACACCGGAAGCATTCAGTACGCCATTGAAGCCCTGAATGACTTTGACTCAGAGGTTAGTTGTTTGCACTTCACGCCGTTACCCCCCACTTGCAGTGATTAGACATCGAGTTATCATGCACCACTCATAGCACCTTCGGGACACTTTGATGAGGAACAACCACTTTTTAATGAGCTTTCGTCTTCTACACCACTTGTTAGCATGTTTCTGTTTTGTACACATATTCTAACAAGTCACCCAGATCCTGGACCGCGATCCAACATTGCACTTCGCGCTGCTTCGTCTCCAACTTGTGGAGCTCATTCGGGCGTGCACGAACACACCTGGCGGGGATATCACTCCTGCCTTGTCATTCGCCACGAACCATCTTGGACCCCGTGCACCGACCGACTCGCGCTTCCTCAAAGACTTGGAAGAGACGATGGCGTTGCTTGTGTTTCCGCACAACGATCTCGAGCCGCAGTTAGCAGCCATCTTGCATCCAGACCTGAGACGGGATGTTGCGGATGATGTCAACAAGGCCATCTTACAGCGCCAGTCGGAGCGTAGGGAAGCCGCGATCCGACAGCTGGTCAAGATGAGGGCTTGGGCTGAGTCTGCTGCGAGAGCAGAGAAGAAGCCACTCCCTGAGAGAATCGGACTTGGCTTGAACGGGGACGAAAGTGACGGGCACGAACCGATGATGCTCTCGTAGAGCAACGGTGGTGAGGACTATGGCAGCGACGAGGAGGATATTGATCTCCCGCAAGACGGCATGTCGAGTGATGGCAGTCGGTCAGAAACAGATGACCTTCATTGGCCGTCTTTTGACAGCCCATATACCGTCCAGGTCGAGGAATAGAATCGCATCCTGGGAGCGGAGAGCTATCACGAGGGCGTGGCACATGTCGCTGACGACGCTGAAGACCGCCATTTGGTTGAGTTGATCATGGAATACCATGAAGAAGACGAACATGATAGCTAGGAAAGAGCGCACGGCGTTTAGAGCAAGCAGGGTTTGACTTTGGGGTACGAGCCAGGATTGGCAAGTCTTGGAGGCGTTCAACATTCGGTTACGAATGCATGAGATCATGGTACATATATCTTTAATTGTTCACGACGTCGGGTCAACAGATGACCGATAAACGAATAGAAGCCATCATGGCAATTCCCGAACTTAACCTGCTGTCTTTTTTTTTTTCCGTGAGCTGTCTTGTACTGGCTTCTCAAAAACACGGCCATGCCACCGTTGGTTCTTCATGGCTACACAACCAAAGGCTTTTGCCCAACTTTCGTAGTAGGTAACTATTCGTAGCTGGAGTTGATGGTGTTTGATTTGAGTGGAGACATTTGGGCCAATCACATTGAGAGAAAGTCCGATTACAGCTCAACATACTAACTTTCCCGCCTGTTCATCGAGAAACTCGGCTGGAATATCAAATTCACGTTGACCTCCCATGATGTTTCAATTTTTTATTGCTTTCTTTCCCACAACCGTCGTCTTCACCACGTTCTAGCTAACAACGGGGTGTCTGATCCCTGGGCGAGAAGGAAATGTCTTGAAAGGTTTATATACAAGTAGTATCCGTACAGCAGTCTCCCCCTCTATTTAGTCCGAATGTGCTTAAGCTTCTTGGGCGAGTACAAAAAGTTGTTGGCGTACGCTTTGGGCTTGATCCGCCTTGACTGGGGCTCCTGGACAAAGTACTCGTAGCCCTGCTTCTCGGCAAAGTGGACGGCGTCCTCCTTGGACTTGAAGTTGAGCTTGGTGCCCTGCATCATGTCGGCCGACGACTGCCAGCCCATGAGCGGGTTCTCCCAGCGGTGGCCCTTGGGGAGGATGTCCCAGTCCATGCGCCAGTGGTGGCCCTTCCAGTTGCCTGATTGCGTTGCGGGCTTGGATTCCTGGTAGATGCTGTGCAAAGGTTTCGTCGTTAGTCTCTCTCTCTTGTTTCGATGATGTATTCTAGGAATTGCGATGGCTATTCGTACCGGACTGTGCGAGCCTGGAGCTCCATGGGGGCACCGGAGATGACGGCAGCCTGGACATAGGGAACGTCTTCGCTACCGTTTTGGAGCTTCTTGGGGGTCGGGGTGAAGGTCCTGCGCAAAGACGGGCCAATTAGCACTCTTATTTCGCTGGTCTATAATGATGCAAGAGTCCTCCGAGAGCTTCCTTACGAGGTGGCCTTATCGGCGGCGATGCTGTAGTCGGGCTCGTTCTGCTCGGTCGAGGGGGGCACGGCGGAGGGCTGCTGTGTCGTGGTGCCGGTCGTGAGCTGGCTCTCGAATCGGCGAGCGGTTACGGGCGCGGAGACGGGAGCTCGGAAGGGAGCGGCGGTCCGCAGCAGGCGGGCTGCGTTGTAGGCGCGGAGGGAAGCCATTGCAACGGACAGTGTGGGTTTCGCTTCTCCCAATTGATGAAGCGCAATTGGCGTCGTCGTCGAGGACAATTAGTTTGGGAGGGCGACTATGGTGGTGGTGGTTGACGGTCGGCACTGGACAAGGCGGAAGGGCCTTGCTTGGGGGGTGCTGCGGAATGGAGCGCGCTGATTGGTCGCCGCAAGAACCTTGACCCGAAAGAAACGAGTGCTTTTCGTTACAAACCTCACTTCGGCAAACGGAGCGTCACCCTCGTCGTCCACCATAGCCATCAGCCTCTCCCCCTCCACGTCGAAATCGATAAAGTCAATTGATCCGATCAATTGACCGTTTGCGCCGTGCGACCCTTTCGATTCTTCGATTCCCCCAGTCATCATGAGCTTCGTCCCCCGCCGCGGTCTCTCGACCCTCATTCCCCCCAAGGTGCGCTCTTCTCCCTCTGTCCGACCGACGACCGGCGGCTATTGCTGGAACAACTTTACTGACGTGATGCAACTAGGTCGCCTCACCCAAGGTACGATTACAAATCCCGATTACACTTTTTTTTTTTTGCTGTTTTGATGGATGCGAGGTTGGATGGGAAAAGGATACCCGGCGAATTCGGAGGTTCGGGCGCGGGATACGGAGGAGCGAAAGGACGGAGCTACTCGGAGCTATGGATATTTTCAACAACAAACAGCAACAGCAACAACCATAAGGACCATACGGGCAGAAAGGGCTAACATGACGATTCCCCATACAGGCCCTTGGTGCGGACCCCAACGCCGTTCGCATGCAGCGCGTTGTCAACTTCTACGAGAAGCTCCCCCGTGGTGCCGCCCCCGAGGCTAAGCCCACTGGCATCCTCGGCCGTTACGCCGCCAAGCACTTCAGCGGCAAGAACGCCTCTGCGAAGCGTATGTTGCTCCCTGGATCGCAGCTGTGCATCGAGTACGGATATGAAGACTGACCGCTGTTGTGTAGCCATCATTCACGCCCTTGGCCTCCTCCTCGTCATCGGCTACGCTCAGAACTACTACTTCCACCTCCGTACGTCAACCCCCTCAAAGCATCAATTCAGACGAAATGTCGAAATGAAGACGAAGAAGAAGAGACGAGGCTCGTGTTTTGACGGTGTGATGCTAACGATTACTAGGCCACCACAAGAACAATGCTCACTAAGCGACTCCCATCTGGTTGTAGTCCAGCCTCTGGCTGTGTAATGGCATTGGGACCGTGTATATAAGAATTAGAACCTATTCTCCAGGAGGAGGCTCCTCGGCAAATTTCCTTTTCGTGTCCAGCGTTTATTCCTCAAGTGTGAATGGACAGAAAGAAAAGCGCAATCTGAAAGAAAACAAAAGGGATAGCCTGGGGTGTTCTCGTTCTCGGTCTTTGTAGGGCCGCTGACAAGTCGAGCCGAGAGTTTGTTTCAGCTAGTCAAAGATTAACTGAGTGATATTGCGTAATGCTCATCCAGCTCGAACTTGCTGGAAACGCGATATGATGTCAGGTATTCAGTGAAAATGATGCCAGTATGGAGAGCAGTGATGTATAAGGGGCCACCAAAGAGTTTGGCTTGCTAGGTGGTGTCTACAGCTGTCTAGTATCTCATGGTCGGCCTGAAAACATCAAGAATATCACTGGTTTTCTACCTTCACAGTCATTAAAGCAGCTGCATTCGGAGAGTGCGGAGGTTGCCTCATTGTTCATGAATGCTCAGACGGAAGGCGCTCATCAATGCACTGGATCCAAGAATAGCCTGCTGGAAGTCAGGGAATCCCGCGTTGTTTCCTCCTGTGCTTTCCCCAGCCCACAAAGCCAGCGCTTTCCGCACTAGGCCGAGCTGAGCCATGACACACAGTGTTTTGGGGGTACAGTGCACGAGGCTGACACACTGTCACAGCCTTCCCACCTCAGTCTACTCTGTACGTACCCCGTAAGGTAGGTAGTCTAAGAGAATCCAGTGACCACGTCGGCGGGCAGGTACCCATCGGGGCCCACTGTTTTCCCTCACCTGCCTCCTGCCCATCCTCCTCGCACCGGACAGCAGCACTGGACAGCACTCAGCAGCACCGCCAGCAGTGAACAGTCAGCACTTTGGCTGCTCCCCTGCCGCACGCTAATCCCTGATTAGGCGACTGCAGCTCCTCTAGGAAAATCGACCTCACAACCATCACAGCCGCATAGGTGTGCCCTTCTCTACCACCACCTCACCCCCATCAGCCCAGCGCTCCTTTTTTTCCTCTCTTCCCTCCAAACCCCCCCCTTCGGACGCCATACCTCGACGACGACGACGAAGCCGACGACGTACGTCTTGCTGGTTGGGGAACTATCCGAATTTGCGATTCCCAATATCGCATTCGCCCCGCGATTCGAAGAAAGGTACACGAAACCGCTCGATTTCTGCGACTCGTCGCTCCCCGGCCCATACAGAGTACCTACTCCATCATCAATTCCAACCAACCACCAACCACCACCACCATCTCGACCCTCGACCCTCGACTACTCTACCTTACACCCGACCCCAGAACAAGTCCTTTTGGTGACTCGAGCTCGGAACAGCCAAACATCGCTCTTCCAGCGCAGAACATCCGACGACGTATGATGGCAACTGAAGCCACCCTCGCCGCCCCCGTTGATGCTTCTGTCCATTCTGACCCCAAGCTCGTGAGTTACCTCTTTTCCCCTCCCCTCCCCCCAGCCTCACACCGCTGGTGCCCTGCCCCGTCGCCGGATGATACCCGCGTCCCCTCTTCACTCGTCTTCATTCGTCATGCCCCCATGCGAACCTCACCCTGTCGCCCTGTCGCTTGTACTTTGGCTAACCTAGGATCCTTTCGGAAACCCCGCCGAACAGACTAACGACGCTGACATCGACTCCCAAAATGTCGGTCCAAATCGCGCGAGACTGAACGGTAGTCCCGCCGTCGATGACTTAGAAAATAAGCACATCACCGGTGTCGAAGATCAACTCAATTCAGCAGATGTTAGTGTTAGTGGAGGGTCGGATACGGAGGCATCGCGGGCTGCTCGAGATGGAGACAAGGGACACGGCAGGACGTCGTCGACCGTCAAGAAGCCCGCTACCTTCAAGGCTGTCTCGGTCAACAAGACCTTCCTAGCATCCAAGGGCCCTACGATTTCCTCGACAACCAAACCCGGCGAAAAGACGAACTCAGCCTCGATCCTCGGCTCCTCCCCGTCAGGAAGCTCGATCCTGTCTTCGCGACCGAGACTTGTCGCAAAGTCGGGTACTGGGACAGGTTCTTCCCCGGGACTCAAAGCGGCCGCCAACGGCGCCACGCCCGCCTCTGGCCCAGACCCCAGCGCAGTATGGAACAAGAATCGACGTAAGGCGACTACTAGGTCTTTGAGGTGGTTGCGGTCATGTGCTAATATAACGTACCTCAGCTGTCCCAACCCCGGAACCCAAAAAGCTTACGGATGAAGAGCTTAAGAAGTATGGCATCCATATGGCAAGCCGTCTTGCCCCCGAAAGCGGACCGTCGGCACAGGGAAATTGGGCAGATATAGAAGACGACGACGATGACTGGGCGCCCGAGACCATCACCTGGACCGATGGTACCAAGACCACCCTCCCGCATCCCGACGAAGTACCTGCGCCGCCGCCGCCCGAGCCGACTCCTGCGCCACCGAAAGAGAAAGTTATCGAGAAGCCGAAATCTCCTGTACCACCCCCTCGAACCACCGCTTCGCCCTCGATTAAGACTGGCGGGCTTGCATCTGGCAAGGGGCTCATCCTCAAGGCTGGGTCTGCCGAAAAGCCTACGCTCGTCGCCAAGCCACCTGCACCTCCGACGCCAGTGAAATCGCCCTGGGCAGCTCTGCCTCCTGTCGAGAAGGCTCCTCCCCCAGTCATCGCGGAGCCGCCTGCCCCTCAGCAAGGCGCGAGATATCCTTCAAGAGACCACTCCACAAATAACAACGCTCCGCCCTACCATGCCAAGGAGATCGCTGCTGATGACTTCAACCGGTCGGCTTGGAGAGGAGAAGGTGGTCCCCCTGGCGGAAACCGAGAACTGTTCAACTCACAATCCGGGCGCTACGAGCCGGTACCGGCCGATCGAAGAGGCTCCTTCCGATCCGACGCCCATCCTAGGCAGCCGGCACTGTTACAACGACCGTCTCAATCCGATCATCCGGAGCCGTCCGCCGCTTTCCAGACAAGCAGGAACTCCGTGCCTGACGGCCCCATGGGTAGGCGCCGTGGATCTTCTGTTGCTAGCGGCGGTAGCGGATCTTACTTGCAACGGCCAGGCAAGGGACATGAGCTTCCAGGTCCTCCCCAGGACTTGTTGAATGCTCGTAGAGGATCGATGGCTGGCTCAGTTGAAAGCCCCATCTCCCCACGGAATTTCTCGCCTTCAGGCTTGCAACATGGTTCTCGGATGCACGGCAACCAGCAATGGCAACCTCGACCATCTCCCGGAACTAACCATGCCACCCTGCATTCAGCTGGCCCTCAGACAGACGGAAGACCAGCCGCACCGCCACCAATGGCGCGACTGGAAGAGGATCTCGAGATACAGAAGAAGGTCATGCGTGAGAAACGCGAATTGGCAATGCAGAGGCGACGCGAGGAGGAGGCTCGGGAGGAAGCTGCGAGGAAGGCGCGCATTGCGGCGAAGTTGGAAGCCATGGGGCCAGCCCCGGAACGCAAAAGCGAGAAGAAGGAACCGTCACCAGAAAGTTCCAACGCAGTCCCAGTGCATGCGCAATCCCGGCAACAAGATGGGTCTGCTAATCAAGAGACCGGCTCTCAGCCGCCTGTCGCGAGCCCCGACTCATCGGCTGTCCCGTCAACTCCCGCCAACGCCAAGGATAAGGCCTACGGCGAAAGACCTGTCACCGCAGGCGGAGAGCATGCGAGACGACCAAGTGGCTCGGAAGCAAGGCAGCCCAACTCATGGGTTGCGCCTACCCCTCAACAAGAACGGCTTCCGACTTGGGGTGCGGCTGGCCCTCAGGCTCCTCGTAACGTCTGGGGATCGCCTAACAATGATCGCGGACTGGGCAACGGTACCTTTAATACTGACTTGGGCCGTTTGCCAGAGCCACAAGCGGCCGGAAAGGGTCCAGCACCCATCGCACCCCCTAGCGCTCAGCGAGCGCAGGTTCAGATACCGCCCGTTCCCCAGGCTCGTCCTACAACGGGCAATGCTCGCGAAGTGAATGAGATGAGAAACAGATGGGCCCACTCGGTTCTGGAAGGGGACAAGATCGTACTCGACGAGAAGAGGTCGCAGCGCCTCGAACGTGATCGGACTTTGGTGGAGCGCGGGCTTACTATTGAACAAGCACAAGCCACGATTAAAGATACTTGGCGGCCATCTGGAGACGGAAGACGCGATCCTGCACACGTTATTCACCACGATGTTGCTCGCGCTGCTGGCTCTGTTGACCACTCGTCTGTATTACCCCCCACAGGACCGTCAGCCGCCACTCAGTCTCGAAGTTCCTCCAGATTCTTCCCTCCCAAGGACAGCAGACACGATTCCTCAGCTTCCCATGCGGAACCGTCGAGGCCCAACTCACCTTCTCCGCCGCCCCCGGATATGCTCGGCCATCCGGCCTTCGATGGAGACGCCATGCACCCTCACGTGTCTCTTCCCCGACCGCATCCCGTTGTCAAGTTACCACCTTCAGCTGCGGCGGCGCAATCAGCGGCACCAAGGTCCACTGGGCCATTCGCTTGGGCAACGCCGGCTGGTTACAAAGATGGCCAGGCAGCTCATGGTCGTGGACCTTACCAGCAGAACCACGTATCCCAGCGGTCGCAAGATTCCGCAGGAAACGAAAACTGGCAAGATAGGATCAACAACCTGCTCACAGGACGAAAGCCCAACTCTCCACCAAAGGCACCCGGTGTCGAGCCTGTCACTAAGAGTGCTCTCGACTACTCTGGCCACTACAATCCGGCTACCGTCTCCCTACCTCGTTCGGCCACCCAGAACTTGTCAGACGACGTGAAGTCTTTCACTACAAAGCCACTGGCGGAGGAATGTTTTGAGGAGCAGGAAATGGGGTCGCTTCCACGCATTCATCTTCCCCACAAGACGCCGGAGGCTGCATGGCAGCCTGCTACCGCCCCCATCAAGCCTCTGCCGAGACGCTTCTGGGTTTCCGACATCGAGACTGTTCGCTCCTTATGGTTCCCCCATGAGATGTCGACTAGCGGCAGCGTTTATCGCATTCTTCTTCCCGGTATGGCCGACGCCAGGACTGTTCCGCTTCCTTTCTCTAGATCAGGAAGCAATCCACGACGATCCAGTGGCCGTGGTGGTGGTGGGCAGCGTGGATCGGGCCCTAATCATCGAGGCGGCAAAGGCCGAGAGCCTTCGTACTCTGGTGAGGCAAGCAGTTCGACACCTCCCCCAAGCCGAGGAGGTCGCGGTGGTTACCGTGGCCGCGGGTCCGAGAACTGGTCCCGCAGAACTACCCCAACGCAGGCAGCCTAAAAGCTGTCATCACTACAACTTCAAATCCTTCACAACTTTGTTGACTTGTGGTGGTTAACATACACTACCAATCGCAGCCGGCAGTATCAACGGCCGACGAACACCGCACAAATATTGTTCCGCATGCTGCAACTGTAGCATGCACGAACTGCTCCGCCACGAGCGGTAGGCAGTGTGTACCATCTCGAAAACCTTGATTATTTTCGCAGAGAGCGCTTTGCGTTTTCAGACTTTACGGACCCTGACTCGATCGAATCGCTTTGGTCGGTCGATATATGAGCTTGACCGGCCGGGAAATCTGGCCAAGACGCGGACAAAGGGGTGGATGGAAGCGAGAGCGAAGTCTTTTTGTGATTTCCTTCTCTTCCACTCTCACGACACAAACGAGCTCCATCTTCCTCCCATTAAATAACGCTACCAACCCGATACGAGAACCCCCTTGCCCGGCTTTTCAAGTCAGAGAGGGAAAACACTGGTCATGTTGACCAAGGTCCGGTGTTTCTTCGTACGATTCATAACCATGACACGCATAACGAACGGCCGGGAGGTCAAAGGAAGGTTGGCTGGCGGGTGTCCTGGGAGTATCGGGAGGGGCAACGCGGTCTTTTACAAACACCTGATGTGCAACGGAGAGGTGAGACTACAGGACTCGGAAATGGATGAGTGTCTTTTCTTTTAAACAAAGCGTTTACTCGGTCACTGCCAGCGGAAGGACAGTAGGCTGCTTTGTGGGCAGTTGACGTCCAGGGTAATTGCAGTTCAGAAAATACACAAACAAATGATGAAAACTCTGTTTTCACTGTGCCCTTTATTCATCTTGTCTTGATTGTGACATTGTCATGCATGAGTGCTTAATTTCTGAGCTGAGGAAAAGTACCAGTTTGATGGAGGTGCTCATTTGAATGTTCAGATAGCATGTATGACTTCGCGTTGTGTTTATGAAAGTTCGCGTGAGAGCATCCATCGTGCCCATTCTTGCGCCAATCGACACATGAGGCAATATCCAGAGACAAGTTTACTATAAAAAGGAACATAACTTAGGTACACAAAGGGGTATTACAAATTACAGTACATATCAGGACGCCGAGTCGACGACCCACTCGGACTTGAAGGTCCCGCCGACGATGAGTGCTGCTCTCCTCCTCCTCCTTCTCCTCCTCCGTTCGTGCTCATGAACAAGATATCGCGAAGCTTCTTTGCTGAATCACCTGGTCTTTCGTGGTGCGGTGGGGTCCCCAGGCCGATCAGCCGTAGGAACTTGGGGACGAGGTGGCGCCAGACTTGGCGGGTTGAGGGGAGGCATGCTACGATGATGCCGACGGAGAGTTCGATGTAGGACCACATGTGGAGGTAGAAGGCGTCGTCTATTTAGAACGAGGAATGGGGAATTAGTATTGCGAGGTGGTTTGAATGGGGACGGGGAGAAGACAATGTGAGGATGGGGTCTTACAGGTTGGGTCTTGGAAGCCTTCCAGGCTTAGGAGAACTCGGAGACGGATTGCCCTGACGATTGTGATACTGTTTGGAAGTGAGGTGTTAGTAACCCATTCATGTTGGAGACAACGACATATCCCCCGAACAGATTGCCTAAGAGGGTGAATAAGTAAGGTCAAACTCACAAAACACCCAACCCAAACATAACCACAATCTCAACCTTTCGCCTCTTTCTCAAATTCAACCACAGCACCTGCGTGACCGGCAACCCCAACATCCACACATCCAGCGCGATATTAATCGCCGCGTGCGCGATGAACATGGCGTAGACATTAATACAATACCCCGGGTGGCGGCCGTCCCAGGCCTCCCAGGCGTTGCTGAAGGGACGGCACTGGTTCAGGTTGGCGACGGTGAAGGCGAGGCAGAATAGGAAGTTGAAGGCTTGGGTGCACCAGAGGATGAGGGAGAAGGTGCGGGAGACCATGCTGAAGACGCGGATGTAGAAGAAGAGGATGGAGGCTTTGAGGGCGGAGATGGAGAGGGTGTAGATTACTTCAAAGGCGAAGAAGACTTGCATGAAGCGGGTTATTTCGTCGTAGGAGAGGGTCCAGATGTCGCGGCCGTTGCCGAGTTGGTATCCTGTTGTTTGTGTTAGATGAATTTCCCCTGCTGGTATGTCTTGACACATCGTGAGAGTGTCCAAGAGAGGACCTACTTTGGAACTTGGAAATGGCGAAAGAGATGGAAAATAACTGGCAAGCTGTTAGTTGAGCCATCTCCAAGTCAAAGTCGGCAAAGGCCTTGCCGCGATGCCTGGTTGGACCTTACATATCCCAATATCAACGTAAAATCGTCCGGTCCCCACGTCGATAGCCTCAGAAACTTGGAGAGCAGTCGAGCCAGCACGAAGACGGCGGTGATGATCACCAGCGTGACTTTGCCAGCGATCGAACCCGTCTAGTGGTGATATGGATACCCGCACTTTGTCCATGTCATATTCTTGGCAACTGGATGGGTCACTGTTAGCTAAAGTACATCATTTGCGTTACTCTTCATAAGAAGATGTAGTGGGTGCATATCATATTCTCCTAATAAAGAGCAAAGAATATGACGTAGAATTGTGCTCTGTAAAGTGTCAAGCTAGGAAAAGGGATATCTCACGTAAAGACTGCTCCAAATCACCCACCGCACGTATGCAGACGCGAAAGGTCTCAATGGCGTGCTTGTCCTGGCATAGACATGTCGTCGTCAAGTTGGCGACGGCACATGTTGTGATGTTGACAGCCTGCGTCAGACACGGTATCTAGAAACGCAATTGAAATCATCGTCAGCTTCAACTTCCCCATGACGTTATGGTATCGATCCCAAAAGGAGCCAAAAAAAAAAAAAAAAGACCAACGTATGGCATGTAAAACTCACGGCACAGTCCGGCAGGCCATCCGCCAACTGAAGCGCCATCGATGTCACAGCTCTGGTGGGCTTCGACAACAGCGAAGGTGCGGGGTTCGTTGTACAGAAGCAATCTTTGCAGGCGGCGGAGGAGTGATCGGTTCAAGGAGGCATTACGGATAAGTAGTCGTGGTAGTGGTTTATCCTTCTTCTACTTCTCCGTTTCTTGGCTCCTTTTTCGTACGTTTCTCGCGGTCCGCGGAGAGGGGGAAAGGGAAAAGAAAAGGAAAAGACAGGGAAATCCAGGCCCAGGGGTTCTGGGGAGGTCCGCCGGGGGATTAAACTGAGTTTGTGTCTCATGGTAAAGAGTGAATCGTTTCCTTGTTTTTGCGAAATGGTAGATCAAAAGGAAGTAATTCGCTTATAACGTGGTGATCGGGGGCCCGGGTCTAGCCTCTCCCAGGTACGGTGGCTGATTCCGTTTGCGGAAGACTATTAAGCTTGGAGAGAGAGAGGAAGAGAGACTAGAGAGACAAGCGATTGCGAAAACACACTTTTGATAGAAACTAGAGCCAAAACCCGCAAGCTTGACAATTTCTAGGTAATAGCTAGGATGAGAATCAAAAGCAGTGACGTCTCTGGGACCCCGGTGGTTTGGTAACAGAGGTTGCGGCAAAGCCGTGCATGCATCACCGTCTTCCCGTTGGAGGTTGTAACTTGCAGGGGAGACGGAGTGGGGGGCCCGAGATGTCGTGTTCGTCTTACCTACGGAGACATGCGGCCCCCTCCTCCACCGTCCCGAAATCTTGGCATCTGTTTCTTTCGGCTCTTTTCAATGATTACAGTCAACTCTGGAGCTTTTTGATTACACTAATCAACGATGTATTTCAATCTAAACCTCGGTCGTATCAAAACAATGACAAGTTCCACTTCGCAGGGATATTCATGCCGCAATGTTTACTGGAATGCAAGAGCGCCGTACAAAGGCTCGTGATGCTCGTATAACCCGTTTCACTCCCATCAGCAAAACCAAAGCGATGGCTATCTACTGACGAATCACCTACATGAAAGGCTAATTCCTATTCATTCATAACAAACTCATGAAACTTCCATGTAAATCTCATCTGCCGAACTCCAAAATCAAGGAAGCCCGCAAACCGATCAAGACACAATGCACTCATTAAAGACATCCCGCAACAAGTTTAACCCCGGGCCACCGCCGCCGCCACAACCACCAAACGACGAGACCCCGTCTCAAGCCACACGCCTCTTCCGACCACTTCTCATCGAGAGGCAGTCCGCCGATGTCAAAGGGAAGACCCGTGAACCCCCCACTCTCAATGACGATATCCCGCACCTGAGGCTCTCCAGCTCTCCGGTAGCCTACACTTCAAGCCCTCAAATCTCAGCCTCCACGAGATCCTTTAATAATGCTTGGTTGTCCTCGCCGCGCCTGCGCCCCTGTCACTCTACAGTGAGCCTAGAATCGTGTTCTCCGAAACCCTGGCTTCGATCTTTTCGTGGCTGGTGGAATTCGTAGCGGATCGGGAAAGGCGCCCGCGATGTCATTTACTTGTTCCCATCGCAAATCGCAGCCGCAATGCTATTTCATATTGCTGTTGCTACTGGTTTGAAGCTCTTGCTCTGACACTTTAGCGAATGCAATTTCGACGGTCGGCATTGGAATTTCGTCAACGGAACCAATACTCGGCTCTGGGTTCGGTTCCGTATGTGAGTTCTGTGTATGAATCACTTCAGAGCCTGGGTCTTGTGATTAAAAAGAGCCCCATTGATTCCGGGACGTTTTTGACATGGAAGTGCAGCAACGAGGATGCACATATGATCCTTTTCAACTTCCACTGTTAACCTTATAGAGGCGAGTTCTATTTAAGCACATTGTAGAACCATTTCTCTGGTGGACAGGCCAGGGATAAGACTGGGAGCAACGTAAAGCTCGAGAGATCTTCCACTTCTAGTCTCGGAGTTTACTCTCTGTTCCATGGATGAACCTCACAGATCGAAGTCGAAATAAACTGTTAGGCATGTGATTGGCGAAGAACAGTGCTATGTAATGAGAGTTCTCCCCGACGTTAGTGTCATAAGGCTCCCATCAAAATTGTATTCCGCCCTTCTGAACAGTTACTTGCCATCGATACCTGACTAGAGAGGCAATCGCAGTGGCAACCATCTTAAACCACTAAGTATATAAAGTCAGTAGCACCTGTTTCTTGGCCATCTGTGCTTTTGCGAAACCGTCAGGAGGGATTGAATTGGCTTGCTTGTCTTATTCAGACTTACAGCTGGGTTGCCAGGTTTATCCAACTCGTAGCAAAATATCGGCAAAACCTTCCTTTCTCCCTCCTCCCTCGCCAGCACCAGGAAATACATCCGAATATGCTGGCAACGGCTAGAGCTAGGGATGGGAAGTCGCAACCCCCTGGAATCCGCCTCGTCACCAAAGGCGAGGAGCGTGTTTTCCTTCATGTCGTTTTCTCGACAGTGGCTCCGCCTTGAAGCTGGGCTGCGGTCTCCATCTGGGATGATGTGGATAGCGGGTTCTATCGGTCCTCAGTCAATCCGGCTTTTTATACTCGCCTCCGAGGTCTTCCATTTCAGGGAATCTCCCCACTCATGAACAAATCAATATTTTCAAGTGACTACACGTTGGGATAAGCCATTCAGATTTCTGAAGATCTTAAGTTGAAGTTGAATAATTTACGACTATGTAATAGGGTAACCACGAAGCAAATCTCTCCAATGTAGTCCTCATGGCGGCAAATTAGTGTTAATCAAGCTAAGAACGCAGAGAGTAATCGCAAGCTGTGAAATGTGACTTTTTCGCCATCTTATTTGACGTTATCTACGTCCAACGTGCTCGAGGACTTCCACGCAACACCATCCTTCATAGCCTTCAACACCGCTCCCAGCCTCTTAACACCCTCCACAACATCCTCCTCCGGCTCCCACGAGAAACACAACCGAATCTCCCGATCAAACCTCGCAGCATCCTCATCCCCATGCACCTCAAACTGCGCGCCATGCCCAACCACAAGATTCTCTGTCTCTTTAGCCCGCACAGCAACCTCCCGACTCGACATGCCCTCCGGCAAACTAAACCACACAAAGTACCCGCCAAACACCTCGGCCCCCTTCAACGCCGACCCACGCACAACAACACCCTCGCCCAGCGGCTGTCGGATATACTCCGCAATAGCAGCCATCATAGCCCCGTGCCGCCTCGCGAGCGCAGGGCGCGTCGCCTCGTCAAGCTGCCTCTGCAGCTCCCCGCTCTCGAGGAGCTCAGCGACCATCATGGCAGCCAGCTGGCTCGGCGCGCCACCGCTGCAAGTCGATCCCGTCTGCGATAGCCCGTACGCGAACGCGGGACTGCCCTCCGCCCAGCCCGTGCGCACACCCGGGGCGACGATTTTGCTGAAAGAGCCGTTAGAGACTGCGTTGCCGAAGGAGGCGTCGGGGACGCCTAGGCTGCGGTCAATGTCTACGAGGCGGGGGATGCGCATTTCGGGCGTGTAGCCTGGTTCCGGGGCCGTGGAGAGGGGCCATTGCAGGAAGTCGTAGACGTCGTCGGAGACGAGGAGGGCGTCGTGCTTGCGGGCGAGGTGGACGAGCTCATGGCGGCGCTTGAGGGACATTGTTTTGCCTGTTGGGTTGGAACAGGTTGGGACCAGGTAGATGATGTGGCGGTAGAGTTTTCTCTTTTTGGCCTCTTTGAAGTGCTGTTGAAAATGTTAGCTAGCTCGAGTTCTCTTTTCTTCTCATCGTTGATGGCATGTCGTGAGGCTTTTCACGATGAGATGAAGAAAAGGTGGGATCGCAGCCTGTAGCAACATCCCGACGCAGGAAACTCACCTCATCGCCGCCTTCTCCTGCGGCCTCGAGCCCCTTTCTCAAGTACTCAATATCAATACCATCATCATCCTCGGGAACAGCCTTCAAGCGCCCGTCGAATCCAGCGTCAGCAAAGATGGGGCAGGCGAGAAAGTAACACGGCGCCACCATCCAGACATTCTTCGTGTAGAGCGGATCAGTAAAGGACTGCAAGATACACGCCAAATTCTGGCTCGCGCCGCCCGTGACGCAGATGCGCCGGACGTCGGGCGGGTGGTGGCCGGCAGCGACGCTGGTGCTGGTGCTGGTGCTGGTAGCATCATCGGCGGCCGACGGAGGTGCGGGGTCGACGGCGGGGTAGAATTCCGCCAGCCAGCGGGCGATGGACTCGCGGAGAGGCTGGTATCCCGGGTCCGGACCGTACTGGAGCCCCGGGACGTAGGCGGCGGGGTCGGCCAGGGTCTTAACGGCGGCGGCGGAGAGGGCGGCGGCTGGGAGGAGGGAGGGCGAGGGCCAGCCTCGGAGGAGGTTAATTGGCTTTTTGTGCAAAGGAGCGTTCATTCTGGATGATGTGACAAAGTTTGTCGAGGTTGAGAAGAATCGCGGCGAAGGCGAGTGCGTAGAAGTGAATGACAGCCTGCGAGTATCTACAATGATCGCGCAAGTGGATGAGATGCGGGTATGGTGAGAGAGGGGTCGATGGTGGCGAGTGAGGTGTTTTGATACAGTTGTCACGCTATGCTTCATTACCTCCGCTCGAATTTCGGTTCACTGATGGAATTTAAAGACGACCTTGATTGACTGCAAGGAATTGATTACTTATAGTTGTATGTCAGAGTGAAGTTCAAGGTTGTCGCCTCCGAATGCGGAGGCGCCAGAGATAGGAGATGCGCTGGCCCCACGCAACATTTCGCAATCATAGCCGCCCTTGGCCGGCAATATCAACACCACTTCTTATGCACGAAGACTGCTCAATCGAACTGTGATATGTTTCTGTCTTGTAGAGGGGTAAAATATAGGGGTATCATATGCTTCAAATACAATGTCTTTTCAAGCGCCTCGTTGCCAACACCAGTCTAAGGGATCCCCCTTTTACCAACCCCACGTTCTCGTCGAAGCCGTAAATACCGGTGGCTTCCACTGGATCTTGCTCGAGTCAATCAATCTTTTCTGCTTCACCTTTTGCTTCTCCCTCTGCTGGATCAGCTTCTCGGGAATCACGATCTTGTGCTCTCCCTTATGATACACCTGCATCTTAAGCGCCTGTAACGTGTGCTCCACGTCCTGCGGAATTATGGCAAGAGCCGTCGAGATGGCTTCGATCGTAGTCTTCTCATCGCGCTCATTGTAACCGACGATGAGGTCCAAGATGTTTTCACCCCAGTACTGCCGATAACTCAGCAGACCCAAATCAGAAAGCGGCTTCTCTGGCGACCCGAGCTTGCCTTCGATTCTCGACAGTTCGTACGAGAACTGAATGAGCAATCGACCATAGCCTTTGCGCTGGTATTGAGGCAGGGTCAGAATACAAGCAACGTTGTATCCATCCGCGCTCTCCTTTTCTTTGGAGAAGTAACCAATAATGTGGCAGCCCTTGTCGCTTCGACTCGTCATGACGTAGAATAGAAAGGGATCGACATCGTAGTATAGTGTCTTATGGTCAAGAAACATCTTGGACAAGAGACACAGGTTACGGCAATATGTGCGTTGCCGTCTACCATCGATCTCGAAGAAAGAGACAGACTCGTCGCGGTAGATCTCGTTTCCTGGAGGATGCTGCAGAGTACACTTGTGCCTGTGCCTAACAAAGGACTTTTCATCGCCATAGTACCCGAGGCAAAACTCGCAGATGAAAATAACATCTTCCTGGTTGAATACCTCGGGGTATGGGGAAAAGTACCAGGGAAACAAGTCGTGCTTTCCAAACTGGACTTTGGAAATATTTCGAATTCGGGAGATCTCGGCGGGGTTCTGCGTCATAGAGCCGTGTGTCCTCAGCTTTTCGATCTCGTCTTCTCGGCTGAAGCCACTGAGTAAATCTTTCTTCTGAACTTCCTCCTCCAGGTCAATTTCCATATCATCGCCGCCTGCTGCGGGAGTGGCTGTTGCGTCGCCCGTCGCTGGGGTCTGGCTCTGGCTCTCCTCGGCCGTCGGCGTCATCTTACGACTCTGCGACTCGACGAACTCGGTCCACGGGTGCGGTGTTGCGGCCTCTGACGGCGCAGACTGCTCCCTCTTGGAAGGTCTCTTTTGGGACTTCTTGGAGACCTTGTTTTTTGACGTTGCAACACCTTTCTTCGTCTTAGGATCTTTAGGCTTGTCCTTGTCGGGTAACGGCCACTCGACATCTTGGTCGAAATCGATCCGGATGGTCGGCACCCACTCGTCGAGACGCTTGTTGAAATTGTCGAAGTTGCAGTAGAATTGGCGACCACTCTTCGTTTCTTTGATGCTAAGAATCTCGGCTCGGCGCGGTATGCCTTCTTTCTTAACCATGGCGATGCATCCTGCTCTGCGCCCGATAAGTTAGTTGAGAACCCTCGTATGGGGGGGCCGCAAGGGCGGGATGGTGGGGTGTTGGAATGACGAACCTGATTGTTTCCGGGGTGGCCTTGCCCTTTTGTCGGGGCTCACTAGAGCCGACAGAGGCTTCGCCATTGGCGCCATGTGCCGCCATGATGAGTACTCGATGTGGTGGTTGATAATTGATGGATGTGGATGAAATGCGACAATTGACTTGCTGCTCTCGGTCGCAAAAGATGATTGACTTGCTGCAGGAAGAGGAAGGTGGTGTGGCAGAAACCGCGAACTGCCCAAAGGCGGTGAAGAAACTGCCGCGGACCCCTGCAAAAGAAAATGCGCTAACCCAGGCGCCGACTCCACTCCATCTGACCTCGATAATTGCATTTTTCTATTTTCTCTCACTTGGGCTTGACTTTCATCGCCGACTTCACATTCAAGACTCTGTGATTTACCCTTTTGAAAATTCGGAAAAGTTTACACGGTATCCTCTCACCGATCAACGAGTGGTGGTATCTGAAGTTATCTCACTCAGAAACAGAGAATATGGCCCCTGAGCTATCGTCAAATTGGAAGAAGCTTCAGGCACAACTCAAAGCGGCAGGCCCGTCTTCTTCCACAACTACACCGGCCAAGACATCTGGAGGCGTCAAGAGAAAAGCAGACTTTTCAACATCGGACCAACAACAGTCCAAAAGGAAGAAGACAACATCAAAAATATCCGGAGTACCTACGCAGACCCCAAAGACCACAAAAGCAAAGAACGGACGCATGGGTGTTGCTCAAAGCTCAAAGGTTGAAGTCGAACCCAAGGTCGGCCCGTCACCGTCACTCGCTCTCTGGGCCGAGGACAATGACATCTCATCAGAAGCCCTCGCTGAGGCCTATGGTCTCGGCATAAAGAATAACTCTATGCTCGGATCCGAAAAGGACAAGATCAACTCTGGTCTCATAGAAGGGCTTGATGTGGGCAAGTACATTGCCATCGACTGCGAAATGGTCGGTGTCGGAGACGGAGGATACGAGTCCGTCTTGGCTCGCGTGAGCATCGTCGACTTCCACGGATGTCAAGTATACGACTCGTATGTGAAGCCCCAGGAGCGGGTGACGGACTGGCGGAGTGCTGTCAGCGGGATCCTCCCGAAGCACATGAGATTTGCCCGGGATTTCGACGAGGTCCAGAAGGAAGTCGCCGCGCTTCTCAAAGACCGGATAGTGGTGGCCCACGATATCAAGCACGATCTGGACGTCCTGAAACTGAGTCATCCGGGCCAAGATATTCGCGATACAGCCAAGCACCCAGGGTTTCGACAGTACGGCAACGGCAGCAAGCCGGCGCTACGAAGACTCGCAGAGGAGTTGCTCAAGGTCATCATCCAAGGCGGTGCCCATTCGAGTATCGAAGACGCGCGGGTAACGATGCTGTTATTCAGAAAACACAAGTCTGCATTCGATGTGGACCACGCCAACCGCTTTCCTCGATTTGGAGGTGCTTCGACAAATTCGAAGCCAAAGTCTAAGAAGTCCAAGAAAAAGAAATGAGTCTTTATCCTCTACGCTGCTTTAATCTCGTCGAGGCCCCGGGGGGCTTCTTGCGCCCGCGTCTTTTAAGATTATGACACGGCCCAAGTATGTCCACTTTCTTCATAGCGGAATGCCTTCCATCAACTCCAGAGCGCCCTCGCGTCCAACGGTTATTATTACGTCGCCCAGCGTCTTTGTTCGGAATCCGGCTTCGCAGTATGTGAAGTAATACTGCGTGACAAAATTAGCTTAGAAATACCGCAAGAGGAATAGATGGTATGTGTCTTACCTCCCACTTCCTTCTAAATACATCTATTTCTTCTTCAGTCATGTCATCATGCTCACGTTTCAAGGCTGGGCGAATCTTGGAATCAAAGTTGCGGAGGAAATCCTCCTTCCACAGCCTCAGGGTTTTTGAGTAGTGGCCACCAATGTTCTCGACCTTTTCGACAATGAGAGTTCCCTTGGACTCCTTGGTGATGTGGTTCAGCAGCTGAGTGATCGATGGGAGGTACCCTCCGGGGAAGATGTAGTGGTTGATGAAACTGGACGCTGTCAGCACGCGAACCTGTCTCAAGGGTCTCCTTTGCGACTTACTCTTCGCCTTTGGAATAGGCCTCATGACGACCCTCGGGCATCGTAATGCACTGGAAGACGGCAATTCCCCCATCCTTCTTCAACAACCTGTCCATTTGCGCAAAATACGTAGCCAGGAACTCCTGGCCGACGGCTTCCAGCATCTCAATGGATACAATCTTGTCAAACGGCCTGCCCGGCGTCTCCAACTCTCGGTAATCCGTAAGCCTGACGTCGATACGGTCCGAGAAACCCGCAGCCTCGATGCGCTCCTCCGCAAGCGCCTTTTGCTCCTTGGAGAGCGTCAAGCTCGTCACGCGGCAGCCCGTCTTCTTGACCGCCTCGATCGCAAAAGAGCCCCAGCCCGTGCCGATCTCCAGTACGTGGTCCGACGGCTTGATGTGCGCGCCGTCGATGAAGCGGTGCAGCTTGGTCATTTGTGCCTCTTCCAGCGTCTCTTCGGGTTCACTCGGGTCGCTGCTTTGGGGTTTCCAGATGGGGCACGAGTACGTCATGTCCGGCGACAGGAACGCGGCGAACATGTCGTTGCTGATGTCGTAATGCGCCGAGATGTTGAGGAGGGCGTTGGATAGGGTGTTTGTGGTTCGCGCCAGGCTCGAGACGGCGGTGGACAAGCTTGATATCCAGGTTGTTCCGTTGCCCATTTCTTCGCGGTTGACGATGAAAAGCTGTAACGGCAGTTCAAGTTAGCCACATCAACACCCCACACCATCTATACAACCACCAGCGCCCGCCCTGGCTTGCGTGTATGTACTGACCTGAAAGAAGGCAGTCAAGTCCTTGCACTCAATCTCTCCCAGCATATACGACTCGGCGAACCCCATGTCGGCGAACAAGAACAGGCGCATCCAGAACGCATCGCTCTTGACGACCAGCTCCACGCGGGGCACGGCATCCGCGCGGCGGGGGACGTGGTCGCCGTTGGTGAGGTTCTCGTTGTACTTTGCGCCCAGCTTCTGGCCAAACACCCCCCGGAGCTCGGCGGGCTCGTCGACGAGCAGGAGGGTGCCGCGCTCAATCTTTGAAAAGACGGAGAGGATGGCGGGCTTGGCTACGGAGAGGGCCGGTCCCCAGGTCAGGCTGCCGACGGCGCCTCTCACGAGCTCGGTGCCGCGGTAGAGAGGTTTGGCGACGGCCGCTGGGACCAGCGAGGGGAGCTTGGGCATGGCTGCGCGCGGCGAAGGGGGGGGGACGTAGATATGGGAATGTAGAGTCGAGGAGGGTTCCTTTTTACGTGTGTGTTTATGTACGGAGACCGGGAAAAGCCCAATGGCTTTCGGTGTAAGGTACCGGACTGGACTGGCGCAGTTCAACCAAAGGTCAATTAAGTTGAGCAAGCCGTCGGGGAACCTAAAACCGAAGCTCTCAAGGTAGGTCAGTCACTGGGATGCTGCATCAGCTCTCTCTCTGTACTCTCGAGAGAAGATGGAGGGGGGCAAGCAAGCTGGATGGGATGTATGGGAGGAGGGGTGGAATGCAAAGGTTAACAGGAACGAGCAGAGAGGGACATGTTCGCATCTGAGACCACCAGCAAGGGGCGGGAAGGTATCATTTTATTGCAAGAAGCACCCCCAAGGAGCCAATGTCACTCCAAGCATGTCAAGGCAAGGCTAAAGGTTGTGTGAGTTATTAGCTTGCCGGTGGGTAAGGTAGTGTGTCTTGAAGGGAACCGGCAACGGCACATGGACTTTGCGGATGCAGAGAAGGAGGTAGACCCGTACCGTACTCCGTGGAGAAGAGCGCGTGCTTTCTTGTCTCGACCATCGGTACCGCCGCAAGCCCGAGGGTCAAAAATGGGGACGGAGGGGAGGGTCCAACCCAGGCTTGCCAGGATGAGCATGGGTGGGAGAGTGGGTGCGGCAAGGGTAGCTCAGACGAGAATCACTTGGGAGGGGCAGTGGCCTTGGCCATCGCTTGTTTCATTGAGGAAATCGAACATCTCCAAGGGGGAAGGGGAGGTTGACGATCTCATCGGCACCTGGTGTTCGTTGCCTTGCCTACCGGTACCCTGGATGGTGAACGTGAATAACCTCTGGATTCTGCGCTGAACTTGGGGTAATGTATTATACAGCGGCTCTTTACCAAATCAACCTGTTTGAGTTACATGATGGCGGCGCATTTCACTGACTGCAAGACAATTCTTGACAGCGGCTGGCTGCTGACAACGAACCTCCTCCTCCTCCTCCCCAACAAAATTCCTTAGGGCCAGGGCTCTTAGTGTAAACCAAGGGATGATGTCAACTTCCTACGGAGGGACGGCGAGCCGAACGCATGGGAAGTTGGGGAACGCATGGCAATGCATGTGCGCGAGCTATGTCGGAGGTGTACCCGGCAAGCTCATTCGTCGCTAAGGCTTGTAAATGGATGAAGAACTCGCCTCCATAACACCTTGTCTTTACCTACTTTGTAAGGTATTACCACCTTACCAACCTTGTCTCTGAAGGGCCAGTGCGCTACCGGACCGTCCGGCCACGTTCAGCCTCGAACTGTTTTAGTCTCGCTGCTTGGGAAAAAGTTGGGTTGGGGGGAGACCAAAGGAACCACTGGGAACAAAAGAAGCACGAGCTGCAGGTTTCGAGAAGGCCGTCGGAATTCGTCCCGGCTGGCAAGGTCCGGGCGAACGAAACAAATAGTTTAGCGTGAGGTTGGCGACTCAAGTAGCTCTTGATCGGACGAGACGGTACGCAGTAGTCTACGGGTGATTTTCATCCTCAAGCGCCGCAGGATGAGAGAGTGGAGTTGCTCTTTGCTTGTAAAGGAAGAACTTCTGTGCAGGATGCTGTACATAAAGATGCCCGTCCCTCGAAGGATGATACCTAGATGAAAGCATCCGTATAGCCAGACGTAGAATGGCGTACTCGAGCCTGGTCCCTGCATCTTACTGCGTGAGATGGAAGAGAAACGTTTCCTGTAGCTAGGCTTGACAGCATTTCCTTCCCACCCATTTCATTTCCCGCGTCGGCTGGGTACGTTGTACCAGAACGTTGTTTCTCCCGATCGACAGTCATCGATTCGAACACCTCCATGACGAAGGAAAGTCAAGGTAGGCGGATAGCTCGAGCCTTGAACTCACACACTAATCCAACCGTCAACGACTTTTCTGGTTCTTACGAACTACCCGTACTGAGGAAAATTTGTTCTGACCAGAGCACATCCGATCCAGCGTTGAAACTCTCGATGAGCAAAGGGCTTTCTGCAGTTCAATGTGTAATTGAAATCCTGCGCAACTGGAAGGACAAGCGAATCAAGAGCCTAGGGTGTCCGATTTGAGCGTTCCCCGGTTGAGCAAAGGCCCAGGGGTCCCTTTGTTGCTTCTGCAGCCTCTGCGGAGCTTTTACTGGAAATTCTCAGAAAATCGACCAGGGTGTTTTGATATCAATGACATCAAGACTCCCCCCCCCCCCCCCCCCCCCCACCGCCGCTAACTGGTTGCCGACAACCGCAGACTCCAAAAATCCATGACTTTTCCCAGGGTGGGTTCACGATCTGGAAGACGGACATTTCTCGATGCCGGAGGAAATCGGAGGTGACTCCAAGAGTCCAATGGCTGGCGGTACATGGGAAGCTAGCTAGGGGACGGGATTTCTATCGTGTTTTAACTTTTGACATCCGGTTGTAGTAGAGCTGCCACGTATTTGTCGCAGGACACCTAACCCGCCCGTCTTAGAGTTGTCCCTAATATTGTCCCGCAGGATGCCATGGTGCATGTCTAATTCCGGCGGTCTGTCTGACTAGACATGTATGAGGACACACGGGGGGTTGGGACGTCTTCGAGGATTGGGCGAGTTCCTTGCTATTGTCTTGGAATCATTAGAAGGGCTGGTTAGTGTTGCAACGCATGTCTCTCACCAGCACGAGCTTTGCTTGCCATCTTGCACAAACTACTGCGGCTGTCCACACTTGTCTCTCTCTCTGTCACCCGTTACCAAGTGAGATGAGCAGTCCGTACGGAGTACAGCAAGCATTGAGAATCGTACCAGCCCTAGCCCCTGACGATGAATGCCTCGATGGTTGAAACAGCGGGAAGGGGACTGAAGGGGACAAGACGAGAGGCTCGTGGGAGTCGGGACAAAAGGGTGGGGGACCGTGCACCGCGGGAGCCAAGAGATCTTATCGATAGCGATGAGCTTATCGAGACGGCTTATCGATAATCGAAATTCGCGTCTGAGCGGTTGGGACGCGTCGAGTCGATGTAAAGTCGAGTACCTGAAGATGGGTACTGAGTAGACGACCATCACCCCCTCAACGACAAGAACCAATTCCTCATCGCATTTTCCACCAGAGCCCACCATGTCAAAGGCAATCCTCTCAATTCAGTCAAACGACTCAGCAAAGACCAAGGCCACAGTCAACCTATTGCCTTGTCGGATTCATCACAATGGTCCCGTCGGTAATGCCAACACATATTGGAACCCTACCAAGTCAGAAGGTGCGTTGTCTAGATCAACGGGCACGGCAATAGATTTGAAGCTAACATATAGATTTTCAGATGGCAAGACAGTAGCATACTTTCGCGGCAGGAAGCTCCACGGCACGACGGTCAAGTTACCAGAACAATACCGAGGCGCAGTGATGGAGAGGAGCGCAAAGGTCGAGACGCAGCAGCTTGAAGGAGAGGGCGAAGAGGCTGAGGGTGACCTGGTTGAGCTGGGTACCATGGAAGCCAAGGCAGAGTTTGACGAGATGGTTATCTGGGGTCACGAAGCGAGTGCAGAGGGGGCGTCTGACCCGTACGTGAGGAGTATAGAGGAATGGCTTGATGTGGCCGAGTCGGTAGGCATTTCTCCAGTCTGCATATCCGATCCGCAACTAACCGTTGAAATAGATACACTCTTACTCCTCGGACGATACCAAATCCAGTGTGTAGGCAGTCGGTGAGGAGGCACAGATTACGGCTTAGGATTTATCAGTGGCATTCTTCCAGAATGATACGGAAGCAGTGACATAGTTTAGGCGTTACGGGGAAATTCAATACAGCAACGATACCATTCTCAGAACTTCACTTACACGAATCATTGATCGGTAAGACCTATTCATGTTCAATGGCGACAAGTACTCGAGGGACTGCGAAGCGCATCGCAAAGAATTGGTAGGCATGATGGTTGGTGTCCCGAAAAAGACTAGCGCAAAATGCAGTCAATTAAAGCCGTCGCGACAGCAACGCGGTCCCGACGCGACTTGTGCCCCTCACGCGATAAAATCAATTAAGACCCCTGAGCGAGTCTCCGCCTCCCCAATGCGAAAAAGGCTCCATCGCATCCCACCACCCAAAAGTCCCACCTCCGCCAAAAAAACAACATCCCGCATCTCTGCCTAGCAACCACCGCTTGCGCACTATCAAACCATTGTCGACTTGCGACTTCCCGAACGATTACACTCTACAGTCGCAACATAAAAGACATTAAACATGGCTCCCTCTAGCGACGCCGGCCTCTTAATGTCGGACGCCCCGTCCCGTTCGGCGGCTACCCCTAAGCGCTCCTTTATGCCTTCCTCCTCCGTCGGCGGCAGACCACGAGCGCCGCCCTCCGAAAGCATGGGCGCCCAGAGCGATGATGAGGCTGAGGGCTTCGCTGACGACCAGGTCCCTCGCGGATCAAGGATACCGGATGCTGCGAACATTCCCCGCGTGGAGGACAGAATTGGTCTCATGGTCCAGGACCATTTTGAGACCTTCATTGAGACGTGAGTCGCTTCTCTATCTTCTCTTGGATCTGTCGGGCAGTCATTCTAACCGCAGGCTTTTGTAGATTCGTTGAAGAACCGAGCTCTTCTGCCCCGCCGACATCCAGCGCTGCCACGACAGACAAGTATTATATTGCCCAGATTCACGGCATGAGGACATACCAGCTCTCGACATTCTACGTCGACTTCAACCACCTGACCACATTTACAAATGGAGAGCTAGGTGATGGTATCATGCGTGGTTACTATCGATTCCTTCCTTTTCTCACGGCCGCCCTACACAACATGATCGCCAAGTACGAGCCGCAGTACTTCCGCGAACATAGACAGCCGACATCCTCCAGCAACCCGACGAACTCCACCGCAAGCCAGCTTGGCTCTGCAAGCCAAACAGATATGGGTGAAAAGACGGCCAACCAGCAGACAGACAAGCTCTTCACCATCGCCTTCTACAACATGCCCCTAATCTCGAGAGTGCGCAGTCTTAGGTCGACCAACATTGGTCAGCTGCTCTCCATCTCTGGCACTGTCACGCGGACATCAGAAGTCCGCCCTGAGCTTTCGCTCGGCACATTTGTTTGCGAGGCCTGCAGAACGGTCGTTCCAAACGTTGAGCAGACTTTCAGATACACCGAACCCACCCAATGCCCCAACATGACTTGCCAGAACCGCCAAGCATGGCAGCTCGATATCCGTCACAGCACATTTGTGGACTGGCAGAAGGTGCGCATCCAAGAGAACAGCTCGGAAATCCCCACGGGAAGCATGCCGAGAACAATGGACGTCATCCAGCGTGGAGAGATTGTGGATCGGGCCAAGGCGGGAGAAAAGTGCATCTTCACAGGTGCACTTATCGTTGTGCCGGATGTCAGCCAAATGGGCCTGCCTGGTTTGAGGCCAAGCACCATTCGCGACGATAATCGTGCTGCTGGTGCTGATGCCGGCGGCGCTGGCGTCACTGGTCTCAAGGCTCTGGGTGTCCGCGATCTGACCTACCGCATGGCCTTCCTGGCGTGTATGGTCACTCCTGACACCTCAAATCTCGGCCAGACGGTGACCGGGCAGGTTGCAGATGTTATCAGCTCCATGACACAAAACAACGCCAACGACAACTCGGAATCAGTTGACGACCTTCAGGCTGCTGTCGTCGCTGGCTGGACCCCTGCCGAAATTGAAGAGCTGCGCCAGCTCGTAAGCGAGAAGAACCTTCTCGATCGCTTGGTGGCCTCTATAGCGCCAACTGTGTACGGCCATAACACGATCAAGAAGGGTATCCTGCTTCAGCTGTTGTCTGGCGTGCATAAAACCACCGCCGAGGGCATGGAGCTGAGAGGTGATATCAACATTTGCATTGTTGGTGACCCTTCCACATCCAAGTCTCAGTTCCTCAAGTACGTCTGTGGCTTTGCACCCCGCGCTGTCTACACCAGTGGTAAGGCTTCTTCTGCTGCTGGTCTTACAGCCGCTGTGGTTAAGGATGAGGAGACCGGAGACTTCACGATTGAGGCTGGTGCTCTGATGTTGGCAGACAATGGTATTTGCGCCATTGACGAGTTCGACAAGATGGACATTGCCGACCAAGTCGCCATCCACGAAGCCATGGAGCAGCAGACAATTTCTATAGCCAAGGCTGGTATCCAGGCTACCCTCAACGCCCGCACGTCTATTCTCGCCGCCGCTAACCCTGTTGGCGGCCGATACAACCGGAAGACTACCCTTCGCGCCAATATCAACATGAGCGCTCCCATCATGTCTCGTTTTGATCTCTTCTTCGTCGTTCTTGACGAGTGTAACGAGACCATCGACCGACATCTTGCCGAGCACATTGTCGGAATTCACCAGCTCCGCGATGAAGCTATCGAGCCCGAGTACAGCACCGAGATGATTCAGCGTTTCATTCGTTTCGCTCGCTGTTTCCGCCCAGAGTTCTCTCCGGAGGCCAAGGAGTTCCTTGTCGAGAAGTACAAGGAGCTCCGTGCCGACGATGCGCAGGGCGGCATTGGCAAGAACTCGTACCGTATCACTGTTCGTCAGCTGGAGAGTATGATCCGCTTGTCTGAGGCCATCGCCAAGGGTAGCTGCGAGGGTGTGATTACTCCCGACATGGTTGCTCAGGCCTTTGATTTACTCAGGCAGAGTATCATCTCTGTTGAGCACGACGACGTCGAAGTTGATGACGAGGCCCCCGAGGAAGGTGCGGCGCTGCTCCGTGCGGCTTCTGAAGCGGCTGGTCAGCCCGCCGATGACGAGATGGCCGTCGATAGACCAGAGGGCACGCCTGCGCCCGCCAGGGTCAAGCAGACTATTACATTTGAGAAGTACTCGAGCATGGTCAACTTGATTGTCGAGCACGTCAACGAAGCCGAGGCCGAGAACGGCGAGGGTGTTGAGGGCGAGGCGCTCGTCGAGTGGTACTTGGAGCAGAAGGAGGACGAGCTCAACAGCGTCGAGGAGCACGACTCCGAGAAGGCGTTGGCGAAGAAGGTTCTCAAGAGGATGGTCAAGGTATGTGGTGTCCCCGAGCTGAAAAATTCTTCCAGGGAACCAAGACTAATCCAGGTTTACAGGAAAACATCCTTATGGCTGTCCGCGGCCAAGGCCTGGCTGACGACGACGACGACGAGCCTGCCGAAGGCACTTCTTCTGGACCTGTGGAGCCGGCGACTATCGTTTATGTGTTGCACCCCAACTGCGCTGTCGAGGAGTTTTGAGTTGAGAGCGTTGTAGACCGAGTGCGTGAATGATCCTGATGAGAAACATAAAAAAGCTGAAAGCATTGTCTGCGCCATGTTGGACTTTTGTCTGTGAAGCCTTGGAGGGGAAAGGGTTGTAGAGCTTGGCTCATTTTATCCGGCTCGGGAGTTGAGGCGTTTGTGGCCGGTAGAGTAGGCCTGGCTTGTGAGCACATGGCATATAAGTAGTAGATGGGATGGAAGAAACCCGAATGATGAATCTTGACAACCGTCCACTGCATGCTGTTTTCGAGTCCGTGTACATGTTTCGTGAGGTGTCCCAGTGTTTGACCGAATGTTCAAGATGAAAGACGTAAGCTCTCCCACGATTGTCTCGGGGTGTTTGCCACCTCTCATACCATGGTACCAACCAGTTGAAAACGACATGGTCTCTATTCAGAAGCTAGACATTGTGTGCTGAGATCGGTATGATGGTTCATCTAGTCCAGAGACGACGCGGTGACGCATTGCAGGACTCGGAAAGGGACCTCGATGTGTGAGCAGAAGGTAAGTGCAAAATGCGGATTCGATCGAGGAGGTATATAAAGAAAGCTTGCCGTCCCATACACATCATTTCAGCTTGCGACATCCGACTCGTTCCTATGGAATAGGACGGAGGGATCGTGTCTCCCAAGTTCGAGGTCAGCCAGGTCTTCAACGACGTTGGCGTCGTCTAGGAAGTGATCCGCGACTTCGCACCACGAGGATGTGAAAGAACACTTGCGAACACCTCTCCCTCACCAGTCCTAACTATCGACGGCCTATTCAGACGTATACTCTCACAGAGATGAGCTTCGTTAACAACGAGGCACTATCTAGGAGATAAATCTAATGGGCTACCTTACTAAGAGCTAGACAATCTCCAAACGGGAATACGCTGATCGAAGACCAGCTATCGAGTCTATTTGGTTTTTCCCTCCTCGCACCTTCTTCACGAGGCTGCGCGGCCGGTTGCGACTTTATATACTAGCCGAGGCGCCGTGAGAGTAGGACCCGGGTCTATATAATTATCTTTTCTGGAGGCCGCTGTTCGATACCGAAGCAGAGCAACGCATACAATTTCGGATCGGCACCTACTGATGAGTTCGGTCCCATCTTGGGTCTCGAGGCCTCTGACCTGGTCGACGAGTTGCTTGAAGCCAGGGGTTTATTCAAAATGGAGACAAATGCATCCTCGAACCATGTTTTTCTACCCCTAGCTATAGTCGCCGGTTTATTCGGGGTAATATTTCTTAGCAGCGGCGAGGGAATGGGAATAGTGTTGGGAGATCTAGTGACAACTTGGCAGGAACACTACGTTTCCCACAACGTTAAAGCTGGTGCTAATTCGAAGTCAAACCCGAGAAGTCGAAATCCAACAGTGTGACTGACCACGAGAATGTCCGGCTCCAGACCCCCAATATCTTGTCCCGTCCCGCCTACTCAGATCTGCCTGGATTACTATTTACCGCGCCCGGCAGGAGATCCCTCTTTATACCGGAGGCGGAGCGGGAGGCAGAGCGGGAGGCAGAGCGGGAGGCAGAGAGCCGGAGGGAAGGGGGTATGAGAGCGGAATGGGACATTATAGCTAATGATGTAGTAGCAAGCAAGTTGGTTACGTAGGAATCATTAGCTCTCGACGTACAAGTCATCTCTCGAGAAACATCAAACGCGACATCAATTAGGTTGGCCAGACGAGGCTTAAGAAGACGGACTAGGGATTTGTAGTACGGTTCTGTTCACGCTCGTGACATGACGGATCTCCTGGGTATATTTATATTTAATCTAGGCTGAGCAGTACGTATGTGGTAAACCCGTCCAAGATAATCATCAGTCGAATAGAGAGTGGCTGGGACGACTGAATCGGTTGTAGCCCCGTTCCTAGCCATTCTTGAATTCACTGGAATGGAGACATCTGAGCCTGACTCTGCTTTCTGCTTTTCTTTTTTTCTGTTGCAACTTTTCTTCTTGGTCTTCAATCATCTGGCAACTCTTCGGAAATGGATATGATTCTATTGATGCAGTCGAGATGCCAGCCACCACCTCCCATGTTATGTCATGATCGGCTGATTAACCGTCCTCATACCCAACTCGCCATGCCGAAATTTCAACGCCACGTTTAGATGCTGTACGGCTTCGCGTCAGTAAAGATCAAATGAGGCTTCCGCTTGGCGAGGTCTAGAATCGTCTCGGCAAACACGCCGTTGGCCCCTATTGAAGGTTAGCATCACCATCCAAAATAGTATCAGAGTCGGCATTCTAGTATCTTACATGCGAACCAGCTTCCTGTATCATGTCGTTAGCGAGGCAACTGTTATAGCTGGCTTGGCAGTACTTACGGGTATAGGAAGAAATACGGCTGACGTCGACACTCTCGTGAACCAAGCCGAGTTTGGCAGAATTCAGGACCAAGTCAAGGCACTCTGTGATTTCCTGGTCATTTTCGGATGTCTGTGCCTGGATCAAAAGACTCATTGGCCAGGCATTGGAGAGCCCAATGTGCGGTCCTGGATGTTGTCAGCTATTCTCCTCTTGTCCTCTCGACGTTTCAAAACAGGCTCACCTCCAATTCCACGGAATGCAACACCCTCGAGGTAGTACGGATTGCCAGTCTTCTCCAAGAGCATCTTCCTGGTGTTCTTGTACGTCTGGTCGTCGGCAGGCAAGAACCCCATGAGAGGAAGTGCCAGCAGCGACGGGTAATTCGCATCATCCATGAGGATAGAGGAACCGTATCCGTCAATCTCGTACGCAAAGACATCTCCGTACTTGGCATGCTTGACAACGCCGTTGTTCCAAACACCATCAGCAATCGTCTGACTCCACTTGTCCACCGTCTGCGCGAGAACATCTTGGCCGGCCTCCTTGAGGAACGTCGCCGTGCGCTTCAGCTCCACAGCCATCATGGCGTTCGCCGGGATGAAGAAGCCGAGGATGGTAGCGTCGTCACTTGGCCGAAAGGCCGACCTCACAAGACCGGTGCCGTTGTTCAGGGGGTTGCCAACGCCCTTGAGGGCCAGCGTCTCGGTGCCCGCGTCCGTCTTACGCTGGAAGGTATACTCGTTCTTCTGGAAGCGGCCCGTCTCCGGATCAAACGTCGAGCGAGACTGTTCCTCCAGGACATTGAGCACCGTCTCGAGAGCCATATACCATCTCCCCGTCATGAAATCCTTGGACTCTGTGTGCTCATAAAAGTCGTTACCGAGCGCGAGGAAATGCGCCAGCGAATCCAGCTCGTACTTGCACTCAAACACAAACGAGGGCTCGTAGATGGGGTGCACCGTATCATCCTGCCCATTGTGACTCGACTGCAGGTTGGCAATCGGAGGGGGCTGGAACGCATTGCAGTACGGCGACTCGATGACGTACTCGGCCTGCGTGTTGATGGCGCCCAGGATCAGCTTGAAGATGGCGGGATCCTTCTTGGCCAGGGCCTGGTAGGGTGAAAGCTGGTTCGTGCTGTCGCGCAGCCACTCGGCAATGATGTCGCCCGTGATGATGAAGGACTGAGGTCCCTCCCATTTGCCCTCGTCGCGCATGCTACGGCCCTTGAGATCGACGAATCTAGTGTCGGTGCCATCGGTGTGGAACTTGACGGTGGTGTCTGTTGTGGAAGGGAAGGCGTTCTCGAATAGCCTGGCCAGGTCAGGGTCCTTCATTCGGGATGTGACGTCCTTGATGACCTTCTCGATGGCATCGGAGTGGAAAGTACGGCATCGTGGATCGGGTCGTTGGTAGGGCAGGCCAAGGGGGCCTTCGCTCAGGGGTTTACTGGAGAAGCACAGTCTTAGCATTGGTCCGTGGTCTCAAGAGGAGAGGCCAAGGCTAGAGTAGCAAACTCACTGGGGATATGTAGAGTACTGCGCATAGTTTGGACATGCTTCGCGATCCTCGCCCGTCAGAGGTTCTTGCGCCGCGTAGGTCTGGCCGACCAGCAAACCCAAGGGCAGGAGCAGGTCGAATACTGTGCGTAAGGACATGGCTACGAAAGCAATGTGGCCTGGCAGGCAAGGGACGAGAGGAAACAGAACGACAAAATTGAGTCTATGTCCGCATGGGTATCAATCGCCGAGAAACGTTTTGCGCAGTCCAGAGAGCGTGGGGTTCCAGGAACAGAAACAAAAAAGCGATCGTGTTACGAAGCAATGTGCGACGTTGGATTGACGCGGAAAATAGGACGAGCTCCCTGCCAGCCAGGTGTCCGCTGCGTCTTTTGGGGGATGCCGCAGCGTCACTGTGGTCCCTTGCAGGAGCTCTGACCGGGGGTTGCGTATTTTAGCGTCGCATCTTGACGACTCGGGCCCACTGCGGGGTGACGCGGGGCGACCTCCGGGCGTCCGTGCCGCTCCCGGGCCGGCGGCCTTTCTCCTAGTGCTAGGTGCTTCAACCTCTTATGATTGAGAGACAATAATTGCTGGCACTTCAAGTCAACATCAAGTCTATTGGTAGCACAATTGTTGAACAAGTCGCGGATATCTGCATGTGACAGCTTGATTTACTCTGAGACTCCATGGCTGTTCTATTAGACGGCGCTTCCCTTCCGTTCCTCATGCAACGTGTCAATCATGCCTTAAAATATTAATCCCCAACGAATCCCACAGCAATCACTTCTTGGAGAAGAAGGACATGATGTTGCCTTGTCCCTTGGGAGCAGGCTTCTTCGGCTTCGCAGCTTGGCTTCCTGAACTTGGCGCAGATGAAGTCTTGGCCACCTTTGCGGGCGGCGGGGGTGCCTCGTCTTCAGAGAACTCTTCCCAAGTAGGTTCCTGAATAGTAACTAATAGACTGGTGTTAGTTTTGGAAAGAGAAAAGAAAGATTGCCAAACTTACCGAGGTAGCCCTGATCGTCCATGATCTGCTTCTTCTTCATGACTCTCCGCTTGCCACGCCTGCGGCCGTCGCCGGCGCTAGAGACGACTTCCGCTGGTTCGGGCTTCGCTTCCGGCTCGGGAGCCTCCTCCATCGGCTCATCCATCGGCCCCTCCTCATCTTTCTCTTCGGGCTCTTCGTCTTCCTCGCTCTCCTCCATCATCATCTTCAGCTCAGCCTCGCGGTCCTTTCGTGACTTTCTTCCAGAGTTGGCCGGGGCCTTTGCTGCGGGAATGTCCTCGTCGTCATCCTCGCCATCATCAGATAATACGGGTGTCTCGACGGGTGCTGGTTTCGGGGCCTCTTTCGGCTTGCTTGCTGCCTTGGCTGCGGCTTTGGCGAACATTCCTGAAATACCAGACGATCCACTCTTCTTCAACGCTGGTGGTGCCGCGCCCTTCTTCGTTGTTGCGGTGGAAGTGGGGGTTTCTTTGGTTTCCGTCTTGGTCTCCTGCTTGACAGGCACCTCTGTCTTGGGTTCAGGGGCTGCGGGCTTGGCTGCAGATGGTGCTGCTTCCTTCTTGATGGGCTTGGCCGCTGGTGCCGCGGCAGCAGGTGTAGGTACAGGCCCTCTGCCCTGGCGGGTACGCTTGCGGACATTGGGGTTGGTGATGGTGCCATATGTCTCTGCCATGGATGCGCTCTCATTCGTCGCTTGTTCCTTGATTTGTTGATGAACGTCTGCTAGGAGTTGCAGATCCTGTAGCACTGCTTAGTAGTGTTGCGAGACCCATAGAGGGAGAGAACTTACCCTGGTGGGATGTCTCGCCAGACTGTAGATATGGAATGAGGAAACCTCTTCGTAAGTGGCTAGAGTCTCTAAAGAAAGATCAGTAACAGCAAGAGGAAAGACATGAGTGTTCCAATTACCCTTCAGGAGGTCGCCAGGGACAAGGGACATGGAGTGGGTGACAACATCTTCGGAAGCTTCGACATCAGGGGGCAAACTGGTCATCTCAACATCGCCATCATCTTGGACCTTTTGTACTGTCTGAGTACCGTAGATCAGATAGGTTGCATGGATTGTACCAGGGCGCATTCCGTTTTGTGAACGATGGAAGTCATAGAGCATTCTGTCAAAAGGTCAGTAGTTGAACTAGCCAATGAGTCAAGGCTTGAAGAACCGACCCCTTTGCTGTGTTGACATGGACTTTGAGTGCCCTGCTGAGGCTCCGATATGTGACCTGGAGAATATGTGAGTACCAATTCGACGTTCGCCATGGGGATATTGTAGCTTACAATTTTCTCCTCACTCAGGATCTGGTCCGCCAGATACTTTTTGTGTTCGTCCATGGTGAAGTAGTCCGTTTGCTCTCCCAATAGACTGTGAAGTGACCCAAGGCTAAGTGATTGAAGCTCGTAGAGGAACAAGGTGACAGCTTCTGCAGGGAGTTGTCACGATGATTCCTTGTGAGAAAGGTACGAGGTGGTGAGGGAGCTGCCTTGGGAGACGCGTCGGGCAAGACAACGACGCGACCCCACTCTTTCCTTCTTAATTGATTTTCTGTGCACACCCCCCTGCTGCAGCCATTCAGACGAGGGCGATTGGTGAAGTTATCCACTAATTCTACACCCCCCGGTCTTTGAATCCCTGACACCTTCCCATGGAGCGCGCCACTCGACGCGACTTTCCCATCCTCCCAAAAAGTTCATTGAAGCCTTTTGCCTGTGGACATCCTTGTTTCTATTGTTCGAGGCCTTCACCCACATCGCCAGCTCAGGCACCCAAAGACTTTCCAAGCGATCTGTGCCTCGAAAGTTCTGATCGCCAGCGCCGAACACATTCATCCTCATTTCTGTCACGAATCCACCAGCCACCCATAATGGCAGACAACTTCGAGGATGTTCCCGACTCAACGGATTGGCTCTCTACACCCCTCCCCGCCCTCTCAGCAGTCGAAGCCTCCTTACGATGCCAGGTCTGCAAAGATTTCTTCAAGACACCAATGGTAACATCATGCTGCCACACCTTTTGCTCCCTCTGCATTCGTCGCGCCTTGTCCAACGACGGCAAGTGCCCTCTCTGTCGGGCCTCGGACCAGGAGCTGAAGTTGAGGAGTAATTGGTCTCTCGAGGAGGTTGTCGATTCCTTCGTCAAGGCCAGAAAGGACACACTACACTTTGCAAGGACGGCGGGCCAGGATGACCAGCGAGAACCTAATGGCAGTGCGGGCAAGAGAAGGCTGGCTGAGGAAAGCGGCGAGCAACAGCCGGAGACCAAGCGCCTTAGGAGTTCGGCGAGGCTCAGCAGGACGAGATCTGGACAGGCTGCAGCCGCGCCGGTGCATGACGTCGATGAAGTCGACGAGATCGAGGAAGTAGAAGAGGATGACGAGTCAGAGGACGCAGATTTTGGTAAGCCATCGCTCTCCTTTACGAGGTACCTCACTTGACCAACCCTCTAACACATCTTCGTCCCAGCTCCCGAGGACGGCCTCGTTCCATGCCCCATATGCAGCACCCGCATGAAAGAAGCCCAAGTCTTCCGCCATCTCGACACCTGCGACGGCTCAAAACCACCACCACAACAACCCGCCCCAGCTCGCGCAAGCGCAAGCCGAACCCCGACACCAAACACACCCGCCCGTGGCAGCAGCGGCCTCAGCAGACCGCACCCAGCCCCCGAACGCCTCCCCGCCCTCGCCTACTCAATGCTCAAGGACGTCGCCCTCCGCAAAAAGATGTCGGACCTCGGCCTCGCCGTTACAGGCGGCCGCGTCCAACTAGAGAAGAGACACAAGGAATGGGTGACGTTATGGAACGCAAACTGCGACTCGGCGCGACCGAAGCGGAGGACGGAGTTGCTGCATGACCTTGATGTGTGGGAGCGCACACAGGGCTCCAAGGCGGCGATGTTTGTGAAACCCGGGGTCGCGGTGAAAGACAAGGAATTCGATGGCGTCGCGTGGGCTGCCAAGCATGATACTTCCTTCAAGGACTTGATTACAAATGCGCGCAAGTCGAGGGCACAAGCGACGCCCAAGAGCGAGGAGACGGCGACACCAAAGGCGGAAGATGGGTTGGCTGCTTCAACAGAGCCGAATGCCTTCAAGGTGGATTTGGAAAGGGATGGCGCAGCGGTGATCGATCTGACGGAGCAGCCGGCAGATGCTCTCAGAGAAGGCGAGCCAGAGGATGCCCCCCCGGGATCCATGATGCAGGTTGATGATCCAACGCCCAAACCTCAGGTGATCCCAGCATCGACATATTACTTACAGGACGGCTTCTCAGAGCCGCAGATACCCAACACTCAGGAGGCGCGGTGAAATCCCTACGTGGTAGTTGCATGACACAGCGCTTTCTTCCTTACTATACCCTGCCGACTGTAAGATATACAGACTTTGCTTTAATACAAAACCAGCAAAAGAAACGCCGTCATCTAACCCTCCCAAAAGGCTCATTAATACAAATGCGTGACGTGACGCCAACGTGATGTGATGCCCGCCCTTTTCACTGCGCAGGCATAGGCTCCTCCCGCACCCTCTCCTCAAGCCCCATCCTCTCCAAGCTCTCCGCCGTCTCCCCCGTCGGCGACTTGGCCCCCTGCCTCTCAACAGGCTCCTTCACAGGCGCCTTCAAACCATCCATCTCCACCTCAAGCCTCTTCCTCGTCTCCTCAGCCTCCCTCTCCTCCCTCGCCTCCCTCTCCTTGCGTTCCGCCGCCTCAATCTTCTCCCTCTCCTCCCGCTCCATAGCCTCAAGCTCCTCATCAACCTCAAACTCATCCACCACAGGCGCAGCCCCAGCCTCGGAGATAATCTTGCCCACCTCATCCACCTCACCCATCTGCTCCCTCAACCTATCCACCACATCCCCAACCCGATCCGCCCCGCCAACCTTCTCATTAAGCCCCTTGAGCGCACCCGCGCTCGCCTCCATGACGCTGACGAGCTGCACATTATCCCGCGCCTCTTGTATCCTACCCGCCACGTCCTCGAGCTGATTCAGCGTCGCAAAGCGCTTCTCGAGCGACGCCTCGGTCATCTTTTTCGACTTCAGCGCCGCCAGCGCAGCGACCTTGTTCTTCTTGGTCACGGCGTCCTTGGCCGTCGCCGTGAGCTCGTCCACGCGCGCCGTGAGGAGTGTCGTCTGCTGCTTCATGTCGGCAATGAGTTCCTTTAGCGACGAGACGGCGGCGTCTTCCTCTGTGATCGTCGTCTCGTCCTCGTCTGTGCTCGAACCCCTGATCTTGACCACCTTGCCGTCGTACATGACAATCCCCTTGTCCCGTGACAAAAATATGAGCAGGATATCGACGTCCGTCTCGGATAACCTCCGATCCTGCACCAACGCATCCGCAAACGTCTTTTGGAAATGTGTCTTCGTATACGTCCTGTCGAACCTTGAGTCCGCAGCGGTAACCCTCTCCGCAAGACTCTTCGCCGTCGTCTCGACATTCCTCAACACCACAAACCGCCCCTTTGGAACCGTATCCTCGCCCGACGTCGACCTTCCCACCCCTCCAAACAACTGCCCCGCCGCCCACGAGACCACGCTCCACGGAACCTGCGCCCACGTCTTGCCCGCGTAAATGCTTTCTTTCGCCTTGGTAAACTCGTTGAGCGGGTACAAGTCCTTGTCGGCGACAGCTTCCCTCACAACGGTGCCGAGCGCGAGCGGGCGACCGAATTGTTTGCTTTCGAGGGACCGGACGAGCTGCTCGTCGACGTTGACCACTAACAAATTCGGCGCCGAGAGCTGTGATGCGATGCGGCCTTCCCATGCTGCGCGGGCGAGGGCCTGGCGCCAGGCGCTGACGTTGGCTTGGAAGCCGTCTGGGTTGAGGGTTCGTTGGGGGCGGAAGTCGGAGTAGAGGGCTGGCAAACGGGCTCTGGGTAGGCATGGAGGTTAGTATTTGGCTGTAGGTCGGGGCTTGAGGGGATATAGATGGGTATGTGGGTATGAGGGAGGGGGAAACATACTTGCGAAAGTTTTGGTCGCGTTCGACGAGGAAGTCGGCGAGTTCTCCCATCTTGGGCCGAGTGACGTCGGGGTCTGTCGATAGCTTTTCGCTCTCAGGTCTGTTGGAGAGGTATCTATCTACCTGCGTTTCGACCTCGGGTCGGCTGGGAGGGGAGTTTTCGTCAAAGAGCCCAAGGGAAGAGAATGAGAAAGAGAGATTTCGAACGGGCAAAGGAAAAGGCCAATCTAAGTATGGGTAAATCAACACCGTCGTGTTCCACGAGACCTAGAATCTTCCCGATGAGCCAAAAGGAAGCAATCATGGAAGGTGCAGTTGCTTTGGCGGGACAGTGGGGGAAGCTGCCTTATCGGCGCGGGTTCAGCAGTGTCTTTCTCCTATCGGTTGCTGGTGAGATCACTGCTGGGTCCAAGGGTCGGTCCCTGGGCCGTGACAAGTGTGTCCAGGCGCCTGACCTCGAGCAGGGGCTGACGCAGGTACGTACTGCACTACCATAGAAAAGTAAGGTAGCTTCCATTCTATAAAGTAGGGAAGTAGAAACGATGACTTCTAGATCTATGGATTAGTATATTTATGAAAGTTCAAATTGGGACCGAGAAAAAAGAATTCCAGAGAACAGACCAGCTTTTTCACAAGTTGCCTTACTTCGTCTGTATTATACCAAAGGGTTCACCTTGGTGAAAGAGACGAACAATCACAAGAACAATAATGTTCCAAGTGGCAGGGAGAACTGGTGTAAATGCTATTAATCCGCTTCGTAAACCCATCTACTAATCACTTCATCCGCCCATCACTGCACTGCCGCCACTCTCACCACCGCCCAAGTCGTGTTAGCCAAACTCGTCTTGCGCCGATACATCCCCCTTCTCCCTGACAGGGGATGTGGCTCCTTGCAACGGCGCAGTCTCCAGGCTTGCGACAGGTGGCCCTCCACGGCCCATCATGCTTGTCCTCCTTGACCTGAAATCCATAGTCTCGCTCTCCTCGACAAAAACCTCCTCCACATCTTGCGATGGTGACTCGTCGCCTCCAGTTCCGTCATCCACGTCGAGCTTCTCATCCAGCTGATGCTGTAGGCCGGCCACGAACTCGTTGGCAAGGCTGAACTTGGAGACGCCATTTTCGTGTGGGAGCTCCGAGTAGATCCGAGAGGCTTCGTTGAGACATCGCTGGGACTGGATGTACTTTTGTTGCAGGTCCCATGCCTCGCCGCCGAGGATACACCACATGGCCGATTTTCTCTTCCGATGGCCCCATGAGCCGGAGCCAACGCCAGGTTTCGAGGCGTAGCAGACGGCAAGCCGCTCCTTCATGAGGGCGTCGCCGACAGGACCGAGGATCTTGGAGTCGAGGAGCCGGATGCCCCATCTTACAGCGTCATCGACGCTACTGCCGCCCCTAAGTCGCAGCAGCTCGATGCCGAGCGTCAAGGATCTCAGTGCGCCAAAGGGTGAGCTACAACGTGTGTAGTAAGAGTAAAAGGCGGCTTCTAACATCTGGTCGATCGTCTCGGCGCGGGACTTGGAGGGCAGGTTTTGCGGCATGATGAGGAGACTGGCGGCGGCCATCTCGTTGGCTGCCGCGTGATACTTCCAGGCCTTTGCGTCGCTAAAGTCGGACCTCAGGAGATCATATGTTGAGTGTGCTAGTTTCCAGTCTCTGAGCATAAAGGCGAAATCGGCTAGCTTCCGCATGATAGCTTCTGATGCATCTGGTCGGTAGAATCCGAGCGCGTCATATGCGCTCGATGACCCGCTGCCTCCCACGACGGAATTTCTCGAGCTGCTGCCGAAGCCTCCCCATTTCCGCGACAGATTCATGAACCTTCCCGTGATGCCCCTCCTACGAGATGCGACTTGGTCATTCCACAGCGACACATGGCGCTCCATGGTAGGTATGATAGACTGCGTCACCATTTCTCTCACAAAAGTGCGGATCGCCGTGGCATCCGACTCGAAGATGTATCTTGTCGGGTCCTCAAAGTCTTCTCGTTCTTCGCTGTTTCGAATGTCCCTGAGTTCTTCGGCTGCCGACATCCAATCGCTCCGCGGCAGGGGTATGCTATCGTCGTCGGTCTCTGCGCTCTGCGTGCTTCTCAACCGTAGCAAATGGCAGTGTAGGCCGAGATGACGCTTCATCTGGTCGAACAGAGCCAGTGACCGGGTGATGTCATCGCGCTCTTCATCGTGCACCAAAACGTAGTATCGAAGGTAGTCTCCGTCTACCCACACCGGCAGTCTGTTCTCCCCGGTGCTTGTGTCGTTGTATAACTTGCGCAAGTCTTCTATCGGCGATGGACTCCGCGAGCTGATGGCAATCACGCAGGCCACTGGGTGTGCAAAAGTCTCGTGAGGTGACACGGGTATGCCCGACAACAGTCTCCGCAGGTATAATGAGTAGTAGGGCGAAGTGGCCTCCACATCCAGACCCTGTCTCGTCAATCCGTGGTGCGGGGTGTTGAGAAATGACTCTTCGGCGTAAGACAGATGGCTGTTCACCACGGCTTCGACGTCGTCGTAGTGGTTCCTCGATTTTGAGACAGATCCGCCTTGTCCGTTAGTCGCCGCAGATGCCGTGCCTTGCGAGGCGCTCGAATCAGGCTGCTCAATATTGTCCCCAAACTTGGTGAACCGAATGGAATAGTCCTCCCACGACCTGCTCGCACCGTTGCTGTCTCTGATGGTGACCTTGCCCTGCACCTGTTCTCCAAATGGGCGCAGGAGCTCCCATAGTCCGTTCTTGAATCCCTTGTCGCTCACGAGCTCCTCGGTATCTGGCGAGGCGTAAATCGCAACATGCGGAACGTAGGCTTTCATGATCAAATTGCGCGGGTCGCCGGGGCTGTCGGAAGCATTCTCGATGAGCGAGTGAGCTGCTGGTCCGCCAAAGATGGAGCCAGACATTGTGCTGCGGGCGGGCGAGCCTCGTCCCATGGGAGACCCCGATCGTGATCCGGGAGGCGTCAGAGTGGAAGCGAAGAGCGGCGCGACAGAGGGATTGGATCTTCGGTACGGCAAGGTGACCTCGGATTGTGCCAGCGGGTGGCCTTCGGGTACAGACTGCCTCTTGGGCGGTCTCCCAGTCGAGGTGGCCATGGGCATGGCAGGGAGCGACTCGATTGGCATGGCCGAGGCCTCATTGTCCGGGGACTGCATGATCAAGGCTGCGTGAGGTATATCAGTCGGAAAGGACCGATACCCTGTGCCTTGATCCTGTCAGATGAGTAAAAGCCAGTGGCCTAAGTGTCGGACTTTGCGTGGTGTTGGAGCATTCGTAACTCCGCCCGGTGGCTTTTGGCGTCGTAATTATTAGAGGGCTCGGCGGTGGTTCGCAAGGAATGAACGAATGTTTCGGCACAGTCTCAGGACTTTTGAGAAGAGGTCAGCAAATATGAGGTGTGTGACGCAGGAGAGAAAAAGATGGCGTACAAAGACTGGCCTCGCGACGATGCCACAGTTGTACGCTGCAGCGGGCCAATTTACAAGCCAGAAAGCCGTCATTGTCAGGTTCCATTCGCGCAATGGAAGAGAGACTGAGAGACTACTCGACCCTCCGATAAGTAACTAGCGCCCCGTCACATGCACGTCCATTCGTGGAAGGAACGGGGGAAAGTGGGGGGAACCCTTGTCGGTCCGCGGCCCCTGCTTTTCTGGTCCTCGTCCATCAAGGTCCGTGCATCTTTTTGATGTGCAACGACGTCGATACCTCAGTCTTCTTAGCTTACCTTCGGTATCTCGAATTATTGAAGCTCTCGTTATTTACCCCTATAACCACCTTAAACGACATCCATTCCACCGTCCTCGCGCCCATAGAGGCAACCTCCGGCCACCATGCCTTCCGACCTCTCCTCATATCTCGCAACACGCTACCTAGTAGCAGATCCGAAACCAACCAAGAAGCGCAAGCGCAAGCAAGCCACCGAAACCCAAGGCCTCATCATTGCGGACGACGACGACGCCGGCTGGGGCAACTCCACCGCACAAGACGACGACGCAGAATCAGGACCGGCCCTCGTATCAGGCACCTCGGCAGAATTCAGAAGGACAAAGAAATCAAATTGGAAGACGGTCGCCGCCGCCGCCGCTTCATCAAAACCACAAGGCGACAATGGCGACGACGACGACAGCGCGGCAGCAGCAAACGCAATCCTCGCCTCAGCAGCAGCAGAAAACGCAGCAGCCGGAACCGCAGACGACGAAATGCCCATAATCGAAGGAGAGGCTCCCGACGTGGTCAAAATGAGCGACGGCACCCACGCAGGCCTCCAATCCGCTGCCGCCGTCTCAGCGCAACTCCGCCGCCGCCAACAAGCCGAAGAAGCCGAGTTCGCCAAACTCCGAAAACACGGCAAGGAAGAGGAAACAGTCTACCGCGACGCCACAGGCCGACGCGTCGACGTCTCCATGAAGCGCGCCGAGGCGCGCAAACTAGCGCTCGAGGCGGAAGAAAAAGAACGGCTGGCTAAACTGGCGCCAAAGGGCGACGTGCAGCTCGAGAATGCGAGGAAACGCAGGGAGGCGCTGGAGGATGCTAAGCTCATGACGTTTGCAAGGACGGCGGATGATGTGGAGATGAATAATGAGCTCAAGGAGCAGGAGAGGTGGAATGATCCCATGGCGCAGTTTTTGAGCGAAAAGACGGGCGGCGGTGGTGCGGGGGCAAAGGGTAAGAAGGGCAAGAGGCGGCCGGTGTATGCTGGTGCTGCGCCGCCGAATCGGTATGGTATCAAGCCGGGGTATAGGTGGGATGGCGTCGATAGGAGTAATGGGTTCGAAGGGGACCGGTTCAAGGCAATTAATCGCAGGGAGCGGAATAAGGGACTCGACTACGCTTGGCAGATGGACGAATGATCGGCCTGAGATGCCGAGGTTTACTTTGGTCCAGGCATCGAACTGCAACGAAGAATTACAGCATTGGATATCCCATACTATTTTTGCTTACGGCCTTTGCAGATCTCAACCATGATTGAAAGTGATGATGAAAACCAAAGATTGACCATCTAGGCATTAGGACGACATGACCTCCATCCAAGGCAGCATAGAGCTCCATCAGGGCAGTGAAAGATTGACTACGTAGCGTAAAGGACACTCTAGTCGCATGGGCTGGCTATATGCAGGCAAGCTACCAATGCCATCTCGTACTCCCTATGCCACTTACTGAAGAGGTACCCTCGCGACTTTCAGTGAGACTCTTCGAAGTCGATTAGTATTAGCCGAGCCGCCTACACAATACTCGGAAACAGGCGGTGCCCAGCACAATCATGAAGCGTCGGTGTGAAAATCCAAACTTCTCTGTTATGAGCAGCCCGTCAGCGGGTAGCTCCTCATTCACGAATTCTACCCTAATGATGGATTCCTCGCTAGCATTATCTGCAATAATGTCTTTCCCGCCTAAGGTCTGCGACGAAGAATCTTGTCGGATCCGTAGGCACAATTCTCCTTGACGAGTTTGATCCATTCCTTGCGATCCATCTGGCCAGGTCCATCGCCGATGCGTCCCTGGAACCTCCTCATGAGATTACCAATGCTGATACCGCCAGGGAGCTCGGGAAGGGCGTCAACAATCTCGTGAGCTTGGATGGGACCACGGGGAGCGGGTGATCCCTCGGGAACCGGTGAGCCGGGCTTGGAGCCTATAAATTGTATTAGCATATAGTCTGACGAGGGTGGAGCACTATCCGTTTGCTTACCGGATGCTGCGGGGACAGGACTACCGGCCCTCGAGCCGACTGGTGTGCCTCTTGCTCCGCTACCAACGAGCTTGATCTTCTTCTTCCTCAGCTGGCCATCTGACATCTCTCCTCCAGTTGCCTCGCCGTCGCTCATGGCACCCTTAAGGTGGCTCTTCAGGCCACCCGAAGGCGTAGATGAACGGCTCTGATGGACGGAAGCCGCGGCGTGCTTCTTCAGCTTCTTCCGAGAGGACTCGTTGCCACTAGATTCGGACAAGTTGGGAGAGCCAGGACGCTTCAGAGACTTACCCTTCTTAAGGGCATCGGTATGTTTCTGTCGGCCAGACGGGGTGGTGTTACCCTTGGAAGACACGCCTGAGGCAGTCTTGTCCTTCGAGTCCCCGTCCTTGTCCTTGTTCTCTTCATCCTTGTCCTTGTCCTTCTCCTCTTCCTTCCTCTTTTCCTCATCGGAATCATCTTCGCTCTGTGGATGTGGTTAGTCAAGACATAGGCTGATAGCCACTCTGCGCAACTTACCGATGAGGACTCAAAGGGATCGTAGCCACTTGAATCTGATTGGTAGATAGTCTCCTTTTCTCTCTTGATGAGAGCCTTGGTGGTTCGCTTTCCCTCTTTGCGGCGCTCTTCCTCGGCCTTCCTCATCTCGTTCAACTCCTTTTCTACTCTGCGCTCATCGGCCTCGCCAAACAGATTGGCGCCCATTTGATCGCGTCGGATGCGATCGGTGGCATCCTTGGTATCTTCATCATTATCCACGTCTAAGCCGGGATTCTCGTCGTCGTCCTGGAACTCGTCGCCTTCCATGTCAATCTCGTCATGGTCTTGCTTTTCTTCCCGAGAAGAACCTCTGAAGGTGCTGCTCTCCGTCTTGATTCTCGCAGGGCCATACAGGGCGTGTCTGGTGGCCTCCCATTCATCTTGCTCGCTCTTCTTTTGCTTGTCACGCATGTACCATCGACCAATGTCTGTCTTTTTGCTCATCAAAGCTTCAGCTTCTTCGAGCCTCATGGTATTGAAGTGGGGCTTCGCAGTGAATTTGTACCACTTTTCCAGAGGTATCGCCGCGAATTTGCCATCTCTAGTAGCAACAAAGCAGACGGTGGTCTCAGAAAGAGGCGCGACATAAGATCCGACCCAGACATTCTTGCCGTCTGCGTCCTCCAAGTGCCAAGGCAGCGCCTCCTCGTACCGCAGCCCCTGCTGCTTCTTCTCTTTCTCCGACCGAGGCTGACGGTGGAACTGGACATCCTTTTCCTTCTCCTTCGGCTTGGGCTTTTTATCAAGACTAGGGTCCTTAAGACTGGGAGCACTCTTGGCGAGTTCCACGGCTCGAACAGCCTCACGATCGGCCTTCAGTTGTGCCAAACGCTCGGCTTCCTTCTCATCAACCGGTTGTGGCTCGGCTTCTTCGTGCTTGACTTCACGTCCGGGAGGCGGTTGTCGTGGATCGCGCCGCTGAAGGGTGACGGGCCTGGTGAATTCTTCTTGATTTGTGGGATCAATGCCGTTCTTTTCGAGCTCGGCCTTGGCGGAAGAGAGTTTCATGACGTGATGCCTGACACCATCTTTCAACGCCTTCTTGGTCGTGACGATCTTGAATTCCCTAAGATTCTGGGGCGCGGGGTCGAGCCAGCCCCCGTTTGCCGCTCTCTTCGCTCTGATATCCTCTTCGGTTTCGGGTCGCTGAAGGCCGTGGTGGCCTGTTCCAGCAGGAGATGGTCGAGCACCTGAGGCTGTTTGCAACGAGCCTGGAGGACGCGAGGCAGCCGGTCGTGGAGCTCCGGGTCGCTTGCGGGCAACAAGGGGATCGCCTTTGGGTCGTCGCTTGATCGGAGGAGGACGAGGCTGTCCAGGCTGTCCAGGCTGTCCTGGTAGGCCATTCGGGTTTTGGCCGTTTGGCAGGCCCGGTGGCGGCGCGCTCATGCTGTCGGCGGGCGCGCAAGAGTCGAAAGTTCTTCCTGCGGGCGTTTGTTTCGGGACGATTCTAGTGAGCGAAACTTTGTTTGTCCTTTCGTCAAGCAGTCTCTGTCAGGCGCGAGGCAGTCAGAAATGAGGCTTGCTCGGTTGCCTAGGGCCGCGGCGCAAGAGAGAATGGCTGGTGACGGTAGACTCGGTGATGTGACGGAGAGTTGGATATCAATGCTCGCCAAAAAGTCTCGAGGACTAGCTCGGTCGACGGATATGTACTCGCGAATTGATAAGCACGGATGAATTGGCGAAGATGAAGAGGTTGAGGTGATGACAAAGAGCATGGACGATGAGGTGCATGCGGGAAAGGACGATTGGAAGGCGCGCTCAGAAATCAGGCGCACTTGCCTAAGGAAGGTAGGCAGCTTGGAGAGCTTGCAGAAAAGCTGAGCGGTCCAGTAGCCGTGTTAAGGTGAGGTACCTACCTTAGGTACAGGCTCAAATGTACTCTACCAGCAAAAGTTTGGTGCGCGGTACATTCATGGCCAAGAAATCAACCAGGAATAAGCCCATGCCAGGTACCTACTTTTCCTGGGCAGTTGGGCGGGTCATTCACAGTGCCTCACAATTGGCCAGCGGCTGTGGAACCGCATCTGGAAAGGGCGAGCCTCACCAAGGTAGGACGTCATTGGGATGGTGTGACGGCTAACCGTACCTTGCCGTTGGTTTGACAGCATGGACAGATATTGCGATGAACAAAATACCTAGCTTGCCTTCAATTGCTTCCAACAGTCCATTTTTCATGGGTGCAGAGTGCCCCTCACTAGAAACACGAGTCAATGCCTTTCTTCCATTGACTATTAATAGGACGTTCAGCCGCGACAGCATCAGTTGGTATCAGTATGCGCGCCCTTGACTTGCCCATGTATATCTGTACAAACCCAGGCAATAGGTACAAGAGGCACGATGGCACCTCGAGAAAGGGGGGTTCAATTTTGAGGCTCGAAGGGAAGAATAGGAGAAACCAATCACTGACATTATAAAGCCATGAAAGGTCATGAGATATCTCAGGTAAATAGTAAGCGTCCAATTCATTCCACAATTTCTTCGTTTTAGCTATCCACATAGAGGTAGAGGTAGGTACCTTACTTGGGGTGCATCACAGTCCGCAGTGGGCAGTATCTGTACAGTGAGTGACTGGCTTAGATCCACCGCTTACGTACAGTGCGTCGCAGATCTGAGACTGTAGCCCCTCACCCCGGAATGTACCTCCTTCCCCACGTACCGGCAGCTTTCACTTCACTCGAAGTTCCATTTACACCACCTTACCTACATGAATGAGGTGATCGCCAATCGGAAACTGAGTACAAAGTTTTCCAATCACAACACTCGCACCCATCTTCTTATCGACCAACAAGATCTCCAAGCCTCCGCATTCGACTGTTCAAACCATGCGTCCCGGACGTGTCTGACCAGGTAAGTGCTTTGCGCCCTATTTTCAGTGGCATCCTTCTCATCAACTCTCGCAGTAGCCTCGCCCTTCCTTAAGCTGTGTTCAAGTCAATCCACCGGATGATAAGGCCTTCAAGCAAACATCAATATGAACAACAACGCCAGAAACTCCGGCGTGGGCCAGCTTGCTGGCTCTCAGACCAACGGACTTGAGGATCAGCTGCGAAACATGATTCTCACGAATGGTACCCCAGCAACCGGCCAGCCTCAGGTCCAAGATGCCCCGCGAACGAGCGCGCACTTTCCCGGCGATGGGATTCCGATGAATGGACCAAATGATCATCTTCAGCCCCAGGGAGACCTTCCCGGTGCTTCGGTTGGGGTCAATGGAAAGCCACCACCTTCGCCCAAAGTGGGCAGAAAGCGACTCAACCAGGCGCAGAGACGACAGATGAATGCTCAGCTGTCCATTCCCATTGACACTCGCCCCTCCCCGCCCACCGAGGTTGGACGAACCCAAACAGGCTGGCCTTCTCCTTCTTACCCTCATGAGCACCCCAGATTCCCGTCTCATGGGCGACCCGTCAAGACCTATCATAACCCAGACCTGCACCATAGACCGGCTCACCTTGCAGGCAGCATGTCACCTCGCTCCCCCAGACAGAACGGACACCGACACCTCGCCAACTCTGACCGATACCAGCATGACCAGAACGCAAGTGGTCAACAAGAGCACGGTTCACCGCGCTTTCCACGGAACAACCATGGTCAGCTCTATAGCCCTCGTGGCCAACACCATCCAGTCCGGCCCGAGGAGCTGGAAAACCAGGCCTCCTACCTGGAAAGCCTCTGCAACACTCTCGTTGCTGGCGCAGAGATTGAAAGAGGAGAGATTGCCGAGAAGGAAGCCTTTCGAGTCAAGATTGAACAAGTTTGCCAGGCCGCAGTTGCCGAATATGAGGCAACACAAAACGGTCTAGAGAACTTTCCCCCACCGTCTGTGCAACTCAAATGCTTCGGCAGTCTGTCTTCTGGATTCGCAACGAAAGCCTCAGATATGGATCTTGGTCTGGTCTCGCCTCTTTCTACCCCTCAACCGGATGAGTCGGGCTCCGCGATACCCAGACTCATCGAGAAGACTTTCCTCGAAATCGGTCTCGGCGCACGCCTACTGACCCGCACAAGAGTACCAATCATCAAGCTCTGTCAGAATCCTCCCGCAAAGCTGCTCAAGGATCTTCTGGAGGAGCGTGAAAAGTGGGAGAAGGGCATCGTGGATCCCGACCATGCGGATGCCGCAGACGACGACGAGACGGGTGATAATCACATCAAGGAATTGACGGATGAAACGATTGACGACCCAAACAACCCGAAGACGGACGGGTTGTCACCCACAGGCCCCAATTCAAACGAGCCCAGAGTGCCGGCCATTTACCAGCCTGAGAACCAGTCTCTGTCCGCTTACTACAATGTAGCGAAGCGGACTTTGAGAAGATTGGGAGGCCGAGATGTCACTCTCTCCAACTGTCGCGAGCTGGTAGAGGAGGACTACGACTTACTCAACAAGGTTTGCGAGGCGTTCCTGAAAGGCCTCTGCGAAGTGCCGCTGAGAAGAAGACTCTCGAACAACTACCTGTCTCTATCTTTCAAGACACTTCCCAATGCTCCCAACTACCGATCCCTGGCTGGCGTGTATGCTCAGATGGAAGGCGAGAGGATCGTAATGCTCTGCGAGAGAGAGGCTGAAAGCGGGAGCATAGACGACACCGATGATGCAACTCGGAACCTGATCGCCTCTTGGAAGACCCTTCAGAACCAGCCGCACTTTGGCGTCGAGCCCCTGACATACAGCAAGCATCTGCAACTGCACCTGGAGAAGCTCAAAAAACTCCCCATCTCGCAGCTGCTCACTCTCGAACAGAGCCAGTTTGAAGCTGCTTCCGGGTACCACTCGAGAACCCTGAAGATCCTCGCGAACCTCCGCCCCCGGGGCGATCCTGACGCGACGGCCGCGAGACAGCTCATCATTGACAGATACGCAGCCGGCATCTGGCCAAGCGCCACCCGCAAGAGCGTACGCGAGTTCATGGACACCACCAACCAACCACTCAGCCTCCTCACCGTCGCGCGCCGCCACAAGAGTCTGCAACTCGCCCTCGAACTCGAAAAGGCCGTCGACCAGCGCCTGTACGACCCGAGCATCGAGAACAATATAAGAGAATACATCTCGATCCTCCGCGGTTCCATGCGGAAGAGCATCGCTCACGACCCCCAATACGACTTCGTCATCCCCGTCACCAAGCAAAACATGGAGACCATCAAGCGCATGCGCGACCTCAAGGACCCGGCCAAGATGGCCATCAACCAACCCCGCGACCCCTACCGCGACAAGCTCGAGTTCCCCAAAAACGACGTCGGCGTCCAGTGCGACATCAACTTCGCCGCCCACCTCGCACTGCACAACACCCTCCTCCTCCGCTGCTACTCCCACACCGACCCCCGCGTCCGCCCGCTCGTCCTCTTCGTCAAACACTGGGCCAAAGTCCGCGGCGTAAACACCCCCTACCGCGGCACCCTCAGCAGCTACGGCTACGTCCTGATGATGCTACACTACCTCGTCAACGTAGTTCAGCCCTTCGTCTGCCCCAACCTCCAAGCCCTCGGCCCGCCACCCCCTCCCCCCGAAGGCCTGCCCCCCAATTCCCCGGCGCTGCTGGACGAGAACATCATCTGCCGCGGCCGCTTCGTCGGCTTCTGGCGCGACGAGGCCGAGATCCTCCGCCTCGCGCAGATGAACCAGCTCAACGGCAACCGCGACTCCGTCGGCCAGCTCCTCCGCGGCTTCTTCGAGTATTACGCCCAAAACGGCTCCATGAGCACATACCCACGCCGAGGCTACGACTGGGGCCGCGACGTCCTCAGCATCCGATCGCCGGGCGGCCTGCTCTCCAAGACGGAAAAGGGCTGGACGGGCGCCAAGACGGTCATCGAATACCGCCCCAACGCAAACGCCGCCGTCAACTCCCCCAGTACCGACGGCCCTCCCCCCGGACTGCAGGGACAACACATGACCCTGAGATCGCCCATCGACCCGCCTACCCCGACGACGATGACGACCACCAGCGGCACCATGAACACTACTGACAGCAGCGCGTCAGCGGCAACGTCAGCGGCGGCGCAGAAGAACGGTGAAGTCAAGGAAGTCCGGCACCGCTACCTCTTTGCCATCGAAGATCCCTTTGAGCTGGACCACAACGTCGCGCGCACAGTCACGCATAACGGCATCGTCGCCATCCGTGATGAGTTCCGCCGCGCGTGGCGCATCATCAAGGCCGCTGGCTCCGGGAACTTTGGCGAGGAGCTGCTTCAGGATGTGGCGGCTGTCAAGGAGGAGGGCGAGAAGAGCACGTATTTGCAGCTGTTGGACGAGATTCACGGGTGGGAATTGTTTGAGTAGGCTGAGCTTTGCTATGTTGAGATGTGCTGCATGAATCTGAGGTTAGTGTTCTGAAATCCCGGGTAGGGCTTCACGCAGGACAGACAGATAGGAAGAGTGTGTGTACTCATGGGACGATGTCACGAAGTAAAAGGCAAAAAAAAAGTTTGAAAGTTGATTTGAATTGTATTATTACTATCAAAAAACATAGCTGAATGAACAGAGTCGGTGGTACACGCCGACTATGATCAAAACATGCCACACATACACATAAAATCGCTTCAAGAAATGTTCGAAGGTTTCTCTTATCCCTCTCCCATCAGTCCCGGAGGCTGTGGCCGTCATGAAGACGACCGGAAGAGGGATCTTCTTTGAGTCGAAAATTTAATCTGCCAACGCTCCGTTCAAGACTTGTTCTGGGATGAACTGAGCCCCGGCTGTTCAGAAAACAGCATCGTTGGTGACGGTGAATGGGACCAGAAGTCCCATCCCCATCGAGAGGATATGAAAAAGGTAGATCAGTTTGAAGACACGGGCAACACGCCATACTGAATAAAGTAGGCGGCCGGTTGAAAAAAAGGTATCAAAGTTTTCATCATTCATGTCTAATACTGACCATGCTTTGTGTTGATGCTGTCAAGACCTACCAATGCCTCAAATGTTTTTGGGTGCCGCCATCTTGGCCTTTCCACTCTTGCCGTTGTAGCCCAGAACGCCGCGCTGAGATGCCCTCTCCCCAATAGTATGCCACACACAAACTGGAACTCAATAAAAAAAGAGAATCCTTGAGCCAGTCCAAGATAGGGAAAAGCAGAAAAAGAAGCCGTGGCAGGCGAACTGTAACCGAGACAATCCTTGCACGCTCTCTCGCCGGAAATCTTTTCAGTCCAGAATGTGTTGGTACAGAGGGGAAATTGATTCGCCATAGTGGTTACGGCGGATCGCCTCGGCAAGGAGGAAGGAGAGATCCAGGACGACGAGCTTGGGGCAACGCTTGGCCTGATCCTCGGGAATGGGGAAGCTGTTGGTCACGAGAATAGTATCGATGCACTCGCACGCCTGCAGCTGATCGAGGCTGTCGCCGCCAAACACGCCGTGAGTGGCCATGCAGTACACCTTTTTGGCACGACCCTTCTTGACGACCGTCTCGGCTGCGGCGATCCACGAGTTGGGCTTGTCGATCATATCGTCAACAATGAAGACGGCTCTATTCTTGACATCGCCGACCAGAGTGATCATGTGCTCGACCTTGGGGTCCTTCAAGACCTCGTCCTCTTCGTCCGACTCTGGGGCCGCGTCTCCAGAACCTCCCAGGGCATGGGGCTCGGGAGCGAAGAATGATGAGGCGTGCGACATCGTCATGGGGTCGTCGCCCTGGACGCTGCCGCTGACGGTCGATGCAGCGGGCGATGGATAGTCGTCGTCCACTATGTGACCCTGAACCAATCGTCCGTGCGTGACCTCATGGGCGCGACGATCATCGTACTCTGCATCGTTCTCCTCGTCATCGTCAACCGACCCGTCGCCAGGCTTGGACTGTGTGGGTGTCGTGGGCCGATCTTCCATAGATCGAGGGTGAGATCGCGGAGCGCTGCTGAACTGAGGGGAACCGTGTGCGTCGGTTCTGATCCTGGCAGCCCGGCCAGGCGCAGCGGGAGGTGTAGAGGGTCTCGCAGTAGGTGGCTCACGTGTCGTCTCCAACACGGGCTGACGGTCAAGATTGTCCAGCTGGTGCATGATCATGCTCGATGTCATGTTCGTTCCCTTCCGGTTCTTCTCTGTTGTGACCATGCCAAAGTTGAGCTTCAACGCGTCCGCAAGCGATGTTACACGCTTGGTTCCGCCTGCGTTCTTGGAAACGACGACAGCCTCCTTCCAGTTGGGCACGTTGTGACGAATCCATCTCGCAATGAGTGGCTCGGCGTGAAGGTTGTCAACCGGGCACTTGAAGAAGCCCTGCATCTGGGAAGCGTGCAGGTCGACGGTAATGACGTGCTTAACGCCGGCCACGCCGAGGAGATTGGCAAGCATCCTAGCTGTGATCGCGCCTCGGTGGGACTTCTTCTTCGACTGGCGACTGTAGGGGAAGTACGGAAGCACAGCTGAGAAGCGATTGCATTAGCGATAGGGAAAAATTGTGGGAGAAAGTAGAGCTTACCAGTGATCTTGTTTGCCGATCCGCCATTGCAGGCCGAGATCATGATCAACAACTCCATGATGGTGTCGTTGACCTTGGCGCTGCCGGATTGGACGACAAAGACATCCTTCTCGCGGACGCTGGTCAAGATTCGCACGCTCGTCTCGCCCTTTTGTGTGACGGGTCAGCCTCAACAGGGAGTCCAAACAAAGTTGGAATTGATCCAATCAAGGCAGTGGGAGCGGCCACGACTGCTGTTCCTCCCGTGATTGTATCATGGGAGTTTGTGAGCAAGAACGCGGCGTTTCCCCCGCCCTTGGTGGTCGAACGGCCCAGCGATGCGCACTTTCAGCTTACATTGGAAAATTGGGTAAGCTCCGCCTGGGCAGGAGCCATACCCAGGTTCTCACATATCTGATTAGTGAGAACTGGGCAGGAGGAGCCCGCGAAGATGAGAGTGCCGCGCATGTTGGAGAGAAGAATGCAAAAGGGGAAGATATTTGGTTCGCGAGGTGGGGAGCTTTTATTACTGCGAAGGAAAAATTGAGTTGGACAAGGGGGCTGTTCAGCCGAAAAACGGGCACACGGAGCCAGGCGCCGCGGTGGGGTTCGAATGGACAGTGCAGGCACGTGGATTGGGTGGGAAAGAGCTACCATCACACTGTATTTATCCGGGCCGGAGATACCCCTTTGGAGTAAGGCATCACTTGGCGGGGCCTGTACGTACTGTGTGGTACGCACCGTGACCCCGCGACGAGTTTCTGCAGGAGCTCTTGGTCGTTCCTGCTCCATTATGGCAACTACGGGTACTCGGAGAGACAGATATCTTGTGATACTCACTGCTTGCCTCAACATCTCATGGACTTCTTATGAGGGACAAGTTTGATGGAGATTGAATTGGTCTAGTCCAAGGAATTAAGCGAATTCCAAGCTCCGGGATCAATTGGGGAGCCGCCCGTAGAAGTGACTCAAAAGATTAGGTCAGTGGAAGAGATTTTGCAGATGACTAGCTGCTTAAATCTTGAGACCCTGAGTGAGCCAGCTTTCATAAATGTTGTAGTTCTAATGTTAGTCCTTAAGGCAGAATCATCATACAGTCATGGGAATTCCTCATCTTCTAAATCATCTCTCCCCTTACGGGGTATTCGGGGCTCTCAATGGCGACAGAGTTGTCATTGATGGCCCTGCATTGGCATACCACATCTACCATCTCTGCACAAGAAGCACGTCAGGTTTACCATCCTACGATATACTCGGCAGAACTGCAATAGGATGGTTAGAAGCAGTCACTAGTCATGACATATCCATGTAAACCTTCCTCCCCGAGCATCAACCAACCTGAGCTGACGTTTAACAAGCTCCGCCATCTACTTTGACGGATTCCTCCCAGCATCAAAAGCAGAAGTCCGTCTCGAGAGGATACTCAAGGTCTCTTCCTCCCTCAAGATCTTCCGCTCAGGGTTCCCCAATGGATGCCCAGCGAAGCAAATCGCATCAACACGTCTCTCACTTCCACCTCTCTTCCCAACCGACGCGCCCAAACGAGACCAGCCCCTGATCCCACCGCCAGCGTTCCTTGTCGCAGCCATCGTCGACAAGCTAGAATCGACCGAAAAGTATGCCTCTCTCGTCCGCCTGGTCCCCGGTGAAGCAGATGCCTACTGCGCAGAAGACGTCTTGCGCAACGGAGGAACTATCCTGACCTCAGACTCCGACCTGACAGTCCACGACTTGAAGACTGGATCCGTCGCCTTCTTCAGAGACCTCCACATCGGCACCACAGAGAACGACAAACCCGCCCTCTTAGGCCCCAAATTCTCACCCACCGAGATCGCCAAACGTCTACAGCTACCAGAAGATCAAGGCATGCGCAGATTCGCCTACGAGCTCTCCAAATCTACCCGACCCAAATTCGCACAAGTCCTCGAAAACTGCAAAGGCGACATCACAGACCCGGAGGAATTCCTCGCCTTCTGCACACCATACGAGACCCTAGAGACCACAGACTGGAGCGCCGTCCCGGTCCTAGGCAGCCTCGACAAGCTCTACCTCGACGCAAGGCTTTCTGAGGTCGTCCTGCAGTGCGTAGGCTACTCCGGGGTAGCGAAGCCGCCCGCGGGCGAATCCGGGGCCGCGGGCTGCATGATGTGTCTCCCGCCCCTGCTGGACTGCCCGGCCCGCGCCAGCGCGTGGGATACCAGCGCCTCTGTACGGCAGCTAGCGTACAGCCTCACCTGTCTTCTCCGAAAGGGCGCCGTCTCTCATGTGAGGGAGTACCGGAGAATGTCATCTGGCGTGAACCAGGGCAAGTACATGGCGATGCTGCCCCGGCCTTGGGTCAAGGACTCGATGGATGCCCTCCTCAAGACCTTGACCAAGGCAAAAGCTAGCATGGGCCAAAAGGATTCGGCCTGGCAGGCGGTGAGCTTGCAGCTTATTCTTGCACACGCGCAGGAAGAAGATAAGCTGGACGCGTGTCTGAACTCCATCAAGCTGGCTCAATCGGTAGCGGCAGAATCGAATCTCGTTCCCTGGGATGTGGTGCACTTGTCGGCACATGTGCACGCGACGCTTTACTCTCTGCGTATCTTGGCCCAAGTTCTGGACCTCATGTTCGAGATCGGAGCCAAAGACCCGATCCAAGGCTCGAAGCAACTGCGCGAGTTGCTATCCACGCTGCCATCCCTCACTGAATATCCATCAGTCGACGGGACAATGCGCCTTCTTGCGAGTATGAAAAGTGGCGGTGCGCTGGGCAAGGTTGCCACGGCGCTGGGTATACCCGCAGACCTCCTTCTGCCATCAAAAGAAGCCAAAAACCAGAAGAAGAAACGCAAGAAGATGGCCGATGCAGAGCCTCGGATGAGGCCTGAGAAGAAAGTGTCTTCAAATCCCTTTGATATTCTGGGTAGTGAATAAAGAGACCAAAGAAGCCCTTCACAAACGCCGCCTATTTCTGTGGCACTTACATTTGCGTCCAATATGATTAAGGTAGCGAATGCCTTTGTGCCCGCAATCTCGATGGTAACGATGTCGTTATTCGTATCATACTACAATTACTCAAAACAGGGTTCCATCGTCATGAACCTGCGGGATAAAACCAGGGCACAGCCAACCTCTGCCCTCAGGGCAAGTGAAGATGACCTTCCCGTCTCCGCGCAACAAACCCATCTTGAACTGCCAGTCCGTCTTCACAGCGATGCCATTGATCCGCAGCCAGTAAGCCAGTATACCTTCAGGCGTGCAACCCTCCTGGCCCTCTGGCTTCTTCTCCCTGGTCTTGGTATTAAAGCCCTTCCACTTCGCCGTCTCCTTCTCCAGAGTCCGCATGTGGATGAACTCGCGGTAGAGCGCGAGATAAGTGAACATCGCATTGGGGCGCCCAAAGGCGGTGATGTCTGTAACGCCTGCGCGTAATTCGCCGTCGTGGAGCATGGCGTACCAGGTCCAATCCAGAGTAACGCGGGGTGCGAGGATGCCGTTTTCAGGCACCTTGAGTGACGACAGGGCAGGCGAGTCGCCCCAGTACAGCAAATCAAGACGGCCCTTGTAAATGTAGTCGTAGGATACGCCCTCCTTGATCATGTAGCTCTGAACTTGCAGGCTGGCGAGGTACAGCGCCTTCCATTGGCTGAGCTGATGGTTAAGCTTATCGTTGCCACACTCCTTCACCAGCACCTCGGGAGGATCCACGGCGTTCTCCTTGACATCGTCCAGTTTCAGAATCTCCACAGTCTTGAGCGCGTCTCCGAAGCATGACTTGAGGTGCTTAGTTATGCTGTCCTTGTCCACTGGGTCACCGGAATCGTGAACGACATCTTCCAGGTACGTAAACACGTGTACGTCAACACCGCCGCTTCCAGTCCACGTCTTGACAAGCTTATTGTTCTGCTCCTTGCAAGTCTTCAGATACGTGCGCAAGAAGCCAGTATACACGATCGCGAGACGTCCCATGTCCTCTCTGGCGCGGTGGAGGAGGCACGTCGTCTTGCTTCCAGCGCGAATATGCAGCTTTCCAGAGTCCAAAAGCTCCAGAACCGGCTTCTCGTCACCGGTCTCAACAGAAGCGCATTCGGGTAGGAGGTTCGAGATCCATGGCGTTGCGCCATACGGGGCAGCGGTCTCGTTGGCCCAGGAGAGCATCAGCACGCCCTCCTGTGTGAGCTCGACCTGCCATGATACGGGCCAATGGTACTCGGTATCGGACGTAAACAGCTCGATCTCTGTTTTGGTGTCGACGAGCGAAAGGGAACCGCTATCAAGGAGGCTGAGTTCGTAGCGACCGTTTGGAGAGGCGAGATGGAATGGCGACAGCGACTGACCGGCTTCGAGCTTGGAGACCGTCTTCTTCGCATCGGGTTTCGCGCCTGTGGAGGCAGGAGTTGGCTTCGGAGGCACGTCGGCTATGCTCTGCGATATAGCGACAGAAGCCAGGGATATGAGCGCGTCGTTGATATGATCGCCGACCGGGCCGTTCGGTTTACCGGCACCGTTCGAGACATCTTTGCCGTCGTTCGTTGGGGTGTTGTGGCCGAGCTGGGTGGGCACGTTGTAGCCTACGTGGGGGAGCTGGGGAACTAGGAAGATTGCCGCGATGAGGAAGACGGCGGCCACGATGGCCAGCCGCGTGCAAGTACCGCTCAGCATCTTTCAATGAGTTGTGTTGTTTCTCGAGAGATTATCCATCGCTGTGATTGTCACAGCATTGATTTGCGCTTTCTGCTTGTGATGAAAGGGGTCTGCCGAGGCGTCTGAATCTCACAGCGGCACGGCGGGCACATCGCTTGGAGCTTATCGCTTATCGGAGCTTGGGCAAGCATAAAGCTGCACAATTCCGCGCTCAAGCTCCCCGATCCCGCTTACTTGCATATCGGTGTCATCTCATCATCAGATACGCAATGACTACCAGACACTCACTCCCGAGTTCCGGGCGCGAGTGCGAGTGAGAAGGAGAGCTTCTGTGATGATCCAAATGTGATGATCCCATCTTACTATCTGATGCATTTCGTAATTGTCCAGGGAGATAATGAGCACCTCAACTTTAACTTGGCAGGATTTCTTGAAAATTGAGGCCTTTCATCTAAAACTTCTGAACCATTCTTGGATATTGCTTAAACACGCCATTTGCTGAGTGATAATTATCTGCTATCTGAATCAACACATGCTTATTTTATCAAGTTCATACTTTTTACTGTATCCATGGATGACAAGTTGGCATTCCGGAACTTTATGAATGCCTTCATGAACGGTGGGTGCCAGGGCCGAAGGCTTTGGCCGAACTCAAGAATCAAAGGGTTTCTGAATTATTTATGTGCTATGGTTTCCGTTCTAAGTTCCAAAAGTCCGGAGGGGAACATGTTCAGCGCTGTCATCGAGTCCAGTGTTCACAGCAATAGCCTCGTAGCCAGCCGGTAGTCGTCCCTCCAAACCTGACTTCATGCCAACTATAGACAAATTAGTACTACACCAAAAATAAGCCACGGGACGGGAGAATAAGCATAGACTTACAGATGCACATGTACAGAAACTCGACGACTACTGGTATCCACGTTGCTAAAGCAACAATTTGTCCCAAGCTCCAGCTTTGCCGATCACTAGGACGCCCTGTGATGTCTAATGTCCTCCTTCGGACGCGGTACAGCAGGAAGAGCAAGTACCAAATCAAGACGAGGAGGACCAGTAACACAAGATACGTGCTTTTGGAAATCAAAGTAGCGAGACGTTTATTTAGCCTCTCTCCGGGACTGCTGCTCCCAAAGGCTCGTATTCTCCCATCGGCTCGACTCAAAGGCCAGGTGTTGGATCGATAATCGGGGCCACGGTCTTGTCGCAAAGGAGGCGGTTCTGTCTTTCGTTTTCTCGATATCGTTTTGAGCCATGAAGGCACGAAATAGAAGATGAGAATCACATTCAGTACCGACCACAGAACCGTTATGGTCACGTACGATTCTCGCGAAGAGCGCACGATAGTCTCTTCGGTACCTTGTAGACAACCCAACATTTGGAAAGTCTCCCATAATTCCACCATGTGATTCGAATAATGCCGATCCCAAGGGCCATACGTGAAGAACGTCGCATATAAAGAGAAGGCGTAAAGCACAACCAACACCGAGCATCCGAGATACAGTCGTCGTCCTCCCCATGTCTCCGACAGGAAGATATAGATCAGTATCACAGGACAAAGACTGAAGAATGCCGAGAACTGCGCTGCCTCCAGATCGTTGACTATGAGATTATCGCCGAGATGCCAGGCATCGATCGTTCCCTCAAAGTCGTCAGAGTGAGCCCCAACGATGATGGTGTCGGATAGCGTCGCTAGACAAATGACCGCCCCAGCGTCAAAGAGGCTCTTTGTACAAGTACAAGCCGCTCCGTAAAATCGAGAAATAAGACCGGGTGCCTTGAAAACCTTTCTGGCGTACCTATGCTCGACGAGGCGACCTAAGATGATAAGGAAACTGAAGATTGTGGCAAGAATTCCCTCGCTATAGTATGAGGCCATGATCTAGACCCGCGGTTAGACCACTGATACATCACTAGAATCTGCAATATCTTGGGAATTCCAAAGGCAGAGTTTTCCCATGCAGTTTGGGAATTCAAGGATGTACCTACCCCGATTCCAACAATATCACCGTCCATTTCAAAATCGAGATGGGAGCAAAGCTCAACAGCGCACTCCTCATCAAAGCTCCCCATTTCAGTTCTGTTCACCCAGATCGGGAGAAAACTGGGCGGTGCGCGCATTTGTGAAAGAGCCCAGGTTTCAGGCTCGTTCGCAGTTAGATTGTCGTACCATCCGATGAGTTGAGCTCTCGACGGCAGTATCGTGGACGCATTATTGTGTCTGAGGGCATCGATTAGATAGGCCTCCACGTCTGGTAGTGGAACCCTTTGAGCGCCATAACGAAGATATGGTGCTGCGAATGCGCCGTAAGTTGTACAGTTGTTGATAAAGTCGACGGGTTGAAGTGACGGCGCCGTCCACGACTCGGCTGGTTGCAGTCCGCTCATCAGCTTAACTTTGCGCTCAGAGTAGATCGCCAAATGCGGCTGGGATGTTCCAAGAGGCTGAAGTTCAATTCTTGCAAAGTCCGATCACAGCTTCATGAATGTGTTTCACAAGAAGGCCTTTTCGTCATGGACTCATTCTCCTTTTGATGGCCGCCAAGCTTCCTTTTTGGAGCAGCTGTGAGAAGTCGGATAGTCTGCATGACGGATAGGCAGCCACGGGTGACCCTTGATCACAACTTTTGATTCGCCGACAGCCATAAGATCGTCATTTGGCTGGTTCAGCACCCAACTGTGCCACATCCCACGCATACTAATTATAGAAGACAGTGCCCTGTGATGTCCAGTTCAGGCCAAGGCTTGTCGTTTAGATGCAAGCGAGATGCCACACTGATTGTATTGGGACTAGACACCGTTAAGTGACGTTTCCCGCCTCACTCCTCTATCACATCGAGTGCGGAATGGCGACAGTACATTGAGATGCGGAGACGGAGCCAATTAGACATCCGTAGGCCCCTTTTTGGCCCAATTACCATAATTAATAATAGGTACTTCCTTATATCAAAGATTTTGGTTATGGAAATTATACTAGTAATCATCTGAGTTATATAGGGCGACATCGTGTTCGAGGCAGCCCATCCTCGTATACTTCCGCCGCGGCCGTCTGGTATGAATATTACCACTTATCTCGCCCAGCGCATTCCTCTCTTTAATCTACGATACGAGGCTATAGCTAACGCAAGGGGAGTTAGCATTTCTACGACCCCGTACGTATAATTTCCATGGTACGGCTTCATTCCTTCGATATGTTGCTCTCCTCGGACGTCCCTTACGTCGACCTTCTGCCAATGGTCCAAACCTCTAGATTAGCTAGGCAGACAGTAGTCTACGCCATTCGTACTGGTTCTCAACCCGAGGCCACTCGGGACTTCCCCAGTACTGTAAAAGGAACGTGTTGATAATGATGACTTCGAGGAGAAAGTTCCAGGCAATTGCTTGCCAACTGCCCCGCCTCACTGGTCTACTAAAGTCTTAATAGGACCGCATTTGATCACTCGTATCGACGCCGTTCATACGGTGGTTGTACTCATCGATCGCGAGAGGGATCCGGAGGTCCTTACGTACGTCGGGACCGAAGACCTCTCGTGCTGCCTTTTTAGCAGCAGTATCTCCAGCGGGCCGGCGACGGTTACGAACAACGTCGGATGTCTCTCGGAAGACCGTTGTGAGGAAGAGAACGAGGGAATTATCCTTCCAAGTGAATTGGTTGACCTATTCGGCAACAATCACGTCGATGTCCGTGATAATTGCTGTTGTTCTTGTTCTTCTTCCTATTTACATTGTGGGCAGGGGCCGATCAAAGTAGGTGGGGACGGCCTGGGTGGTTGCCCCACCTTAACCGGCCGTGCTGACTAAGCCGGTTGTCCCACTTCGCCCAGGGCAGGCGCCAGCCAGCCCACGATACCTGCCCATTGCTCCTTATCAGCCTTGCCGTTCCGACATGATCAATATGTATGATACCACCCAGAACTGTTTGTATCAACATACTTGCCCGTCTGTTGTAGAGATTGCATGGATCTGACCCTATGGAAGTCCCCTGTCTTCTGTCTCCTTCTCAGCCATGAGAGTCTCATCGATACCACCGTCCTTCCGGCACGTGCCCGTTGCCCCTATTCTCTGAGCCCGTAGAGCACGGAAGAGCTTCACAGAGGCAAATAGATTATCGAGGAAGACGTGGTAAGTGGCTAATGGAAGAAGGGAAAGCAGTGATGTAACCACCCGCTATGTAGGTATAAGAGCAGTCTTTTTAGCCTCGTGGTCACCAGCGGCTAGGCGGGCTTGTAGGACGAGCCCGTAGGGCCCGTCTCTATGGACGTGCCATAGCTAGCGGAGGGAGTAACCCGATTGGGCCAGCACCTATATCTTAAACCCCTTTGGTATTGACTTTGTTAGAATCGTCGTAGTCTCTATCCCATCGAGTGCTGCAAGGCGACAGTACATTGAGATGCGGGGGAGCAGCCAATCGGGCCACTTCGGGCCCCTTTTTCCAACCAACCAACGTAATTGATAATAGATACTTCCAATTACTAGAGATTCTGCGTATGAAATCGGTACCAGCAATCTTCTGAGTTACAGAGAGCTACATCGCACTCGAGGCAGCCCATCCTCGTGTACTTCCCAGGGATACCGGGCTCAACCTCCGGAGGCTCGCGGGGCCGAACAGTGGCATTATCACATTGCTCCGGCGTACAGTCGGCAGTGCAGGCGGCGGCGAGGTCCTCGGGCAGCAGGGCAAAGATACACGACTTCGCCGAGCCCGTGGAACGGCCAGATCCGTCAGAATCGTCAGAATCCATTAATTGAGTATTGGTAATGATGGATTTGGTAGATGTACCGGAGTGGAAATCATAGGGGCAACTCAAGCAGTGGATGTACCAGATGCGGTGCGGGGTAAAAGGGGGCCCGTTATGTGGAGCCAATGTACTGTCGCCTTGCAGCACTCGATGGGATACACCACTTTCAGAAACACTCGACGTTGGAACACCATGGGTGACTTAACTTGCTTACTTGCTATCGTAGAATCGAAGCCTTGCGCATTTTTCTTCTGTGGCAGCAAAAGCATTCTCGCACGATACTAGTCTCCCATCAATTGCTAGATGGCGTCAATACACACATGTACGTACTTTGATGATAGGTCACAACGAACTATAGATTGATCCGACTCTATTTCCCTTCTACCCCCCTATGAATAATCTCTTTATGGAGCAAGATTAGACAAAGACTGGAGACGGATGTGCTGACGCCATCTAGCAGTTAATGGAATAACTCTGATGTTGGGAAACCGAGAGGTTTCCTAATGCATTGAAACTTCGAAACGCTACATTGTCTTCCATGTAAGTCAAACCCCCCACTTCCTGGCACCCCCCTGTTTCTGGCACCACAAAAACGATGGGATCACAACCCGACCTCCTCATTACTATTAACTATTGATCCTCAACCACACCCACTACAATACAGCTGCCAGCCTCACTAGGGCATTCAGAGTCGCTGGATTCAGCCGTGATAACCTCCTTTTCACCCGCTTCGATTTGAGCCCGATGGATATCCCTGATGTTCGCGAACTTCGTGTTGGGATCGATTTGAACAGTCTTCCTCTTCCTCACTGCAGCGTTGGTAACTTGAGCCCTCAGGTGAGCTAGTTGCTGCTGGGCAGCTGCCAGTTGCCAGGCCTGCTCTGTGAAGCCTTTTTTCACCTTCCTGAATAGCAGCCGTTGAGTGCTGGTATCATTGTCGAGTTGGGTGTATAAGTGCAGTTGACCGCTGAGCTCTGCCAGCTTCCTGGGTGTCGACCAGACCACTGCAGAGGAGGCAGAATCCCATGGCTCAACAGGGGTATTTTGTTGACCATTATGGCATCGCTTTCTGCCCTGACTAGTTGGTTTGGGTGTGGTGGGCTTAGCAGGAGGCTCAGGTAGTACCATAGGGTTCATCAGGGGCTTAACCATCGCCACAGGGTGTAGACCAGTCCACTTCCAACCACTTCTGATGTTCGAGACTGATAGACCAGCAAGTCGAGCCTTCTGGTAACAGTCCAGGAAGTTCCTTTTACCTATAATGGTAGAGTCGTTCCATTGAGACAAGTAACCGAGCTCCTTCCGATAGGCTGACTTAACAGGGCTGAAGACAGACTGGTCAAGAGGCTGGAGGACATGAGAGGAGTGTGGTGGTAAGAACAGTAAATGGATATTGTTAATATAGCAATTCCACATGAAGTCTGTCGTCGTATGACTCCCATGCCCATCCACAATCAGCAGTCGAGCCTCCCCCTCAGCCTCAGGCATAGTCTGTGGGATGAACACCTTCTCTAACCATTCAATGGCAGTTAAGTCTATAGTCCAGCCATTATCTGTTGCTGTGAACTCCCACCCATCGTATGGAACGAGATGTAATGGAAACCACTGCTGTTGGGCTGTCTTCCCCTTGAAAATGATAAGAGGACGAAGTGCCCTACCCAAGGCTGAGATACACTCAATGATAGAGACCCATGCCCTCGACCCAGGTTGTTTCTTGCGAACAGACGTCGTCTCAGCCATACCCAGCACTAACCCATTAGCTCCCTGACCCTCGAGGATGCCAGTCTCATCCATATTATATCTGTTGGCTGGTTTGATGTCCTTGATCTCAGGGATAGCGAGGAACTTAAACCAGTTCCTAATGACCTCAGTAGATGCCCCATTAACGCGTCTAGAATCGATAGAACGACTTCTCTGAACCTTAATGATAGGGTTCCTTCTCACAAAGGCATAGATCCAGCCTTTTCCCAGTGGTTTGGTATCCCCAGCAGCAGCCAGAACTCGCTCTGCGAATTCCTTCACCTGTTGGTGCGTTGGTGCGAGGCCCAGCGAAGCCTGAATGCGAACCCATTGTGCCAGCTTACTCTCCTGGTCAGGAGACAGCCTCTGCCAGTCAGCAAAAGCCACTTTCCTAGTCTGACCACCTTGGAGACGTAGTTGGAGGGTTGATCGTGGTATCCCATACTCCAATGAGGCTCTCTTTTGACTCTTGCTGTTTGAGATGTCCTCGAGAGCCTGACGAAGCTGATCTTCGGTATATTGAGGCATTAGATATAGAAGAAGGTATGTGCAAAAGATGAGCCCATTTGGACGCGAATTGAAAATGTTGTGATAAAAGGAGGTTGGGGGTGGGCATTGGGTTGTGGTGGATTTTCGCGTTTTTGTGGGTGCCAGAAACAGGGGGGTGCCAGGAAGTGGGGGGTTTGACTTATTCAATACTTGGAAAACTTGTTGCTATTCTATCGGGACAAAACAAAGTCTTCATGATAAAGCGTCGGTCGTGGACGAAACAACCATTTCTTATCTATCTTGATGCTCTGAGTTAAATGTTGAGCTATGGTATCGCTATGTGATACTCTGTTTCGAAGTTCCGTTCCAGACGGTGGTTGCCAGTGAATTAAAGGCAAGCATTGCATTAATAGACTGTCCAAAGTTACCATATATACGTTTCGTCGATAAAGGTTATCGGAATGGGTGCCCGCAGTGCAAGTTCGCTCACAAGGCAGCGA